GATTTCTTCCGTCGTTGGTGGATTGACATCTATAGGAAGATCTGTGTGTGCTGCTTCGATGTCCGGTGGATTCATTGGAGCCGGCCTACTCAGTAGTTCCCCGAAGTACTCTACCCATCTGTTCCGCTGTCGTTGAATTTCAGTGGTTGGCCTGCCTTCTTTGTCTTTGACACGTTGAAGTTAATGCTTCTTTGATACCTTTCTAGTTATCCTCCATAGTAGTTTCTTCTTCCTTCAGCAGATCCTGTAAGGCTTGGAACCTGTTGTTGAGAGCTACCTTGAATTCATTGAGTTTGTCAGTATCTCGAAGTAAGGCTGTATTGAGCCTTTGTGATGCTGTTTGTCCAGTTGTCCAGTTCTTCTTTAGCTTCAGTTTCAATTTGGCCACAACTAGGTGATGATTTGAAGCTATGTCCGCTCCTCTCCTGGTTTTCACATCTTCCATTGTCCTTCGGAACTTTTTATTGATGCAAATGTGATCGATCTGGTTCTCTGTGGTGTGGTCCGGTGAGATCCACGTTGCTTTGTGTATACGTTTGTGTGGAAATGTTGTACCGCCTATGACCAATTTGTTGAATGCACACATATTAACAAATCTTTCCCCGTTTCCGTTCCTCTCTCCCAGTCCATGCAGTTCCATGATATCTTCATATCCGGTGTTGTCTATTCCGACTTTGACGTTTAGATCTCCCATCAGAATGGTGAGGTTCTTTCTTGGGCACTTCTCTATGATTGATTGCAGCCTCTCATAGAATTGATCTTTAGTGTCGTCGTTGCTATCGTTGGTGGGTGCATAACATTGGATAATGTTCATTGTGATACCCTCCTTCTTTGTTTTGAATGATGCTTTGATGATTCTAAATCCGTGAGATTCCCATCCTACAAGTGCATTTTGTGCCACTTTGGACAGCATTAGAGCAACTCCCTGAGTGTATGGAGCATCTTTCTCTTCGTGACCGGAGTATAGCAGCATCTCTCCCGTATTTAACCTTTGTTGTCCAGCTTGGGTCCAATGGGTTTCGCTGATTCCGAGTACTGCCAAGTTGTATCTCCTCAATTCCGTTGCTATTTGACTGGTCTTCCCGGTCTCCCACATTGTCCGGACGTTCCATGTACCTATAAAAATTGTTGCTCTGGTTGTTATAAGGGGCATCGGCCTCATGGCTTCTGAAGGAACTCGGCCTTCACCCTGAGGCGTCATATTTCTTCTAAATGCAGACCTTCTAACTCTCAGGGCAGAATTTAAATGGTTTGAATAATTTTTTTGGATAGCGTTTTTTAACGAGTTGGCTTTCTACGGGATGTGGTCGCTAACCCTATGTCCAACCCTCCTCCTTTACCCGGGCTTGGGACCGGCAGTAACTCCAGAAGGGCTACAGGCGGATTAGACAACGTCAGTTATTAAATGCTAACGTACAATCGGTTCAAATGGGATTTTATACAAAACATGATAATTGAGAGGCTATAACATATAAAACCGACTGATTATAATTTGTAAACGAACCAATCAGGCATAAGATAACAGGCTCGAAAGTCTTTTATCCATTTGGCTAAATAGAGTTTTGACATTATAGCTGATGTCAGTTCGTGATGAAAATCCCATATATAAATTCCATGTATAAAAAATGTATCCACTTAATTTCCTTGGTTTTGTATAATATACTTTTATCAGAAGGGATTGTGTGGAGATTTTAGAAATTTCACTGGTTGAAATCATGAATCCATTGAAGCTAGACCACCATGGAAAACCTGGAAGCACTGGACGGCCGTTTCGTCCTAGTATGGGACTCCTCAGCAGTGCGCATCCACAATCCCGCTTCTCGAGAGATTCGAACCCAGGACCTATCAGACAACCAGTGAAAATTCTAAAATCTCCACACAATCCCTTCTGATAATAATAATCATCTGCTCACTAGTGACTGACTTCAAGAGATACTCCTGAAGTTCTAGTGAGAAGCCGTTACCAGTGGAGTTCAAATAGGTCTGTTGTGAGATATCAGCTCACTGAAGACAATGGTGTACGGTGGCGCAACTTCGTGGATTGGTTAAAGTTAGACATTAACACCGTTAGATGCCGGCTCAGTGGTCTAGTTGGTTAAGCGCCTGGCTCGAGACCGACAGGTCCTGCGTTCGAAACTCTCGGGGGGCGGGGTCGTGGATGCGCACCGCCGAGGGGTCGCACAGTAGGACGAAACGGCCGTCCAGTGCTTCCAGGTTTTCCATGGTGGTCTAGCTTCAATGGATTCACAATATATTTTTACTCTATACTGACTGGTTGCTGATTGGCTAGTATTTCTTAGGGTCACTCAAGATTCATTCAAAGGTCGTCCATAAATTAGAGTCTCACCAGAGATACAATTAAAAAGCAAAGTAAACAATGATAGGTTTAAAGGTCAATAAAGTGTACAGGATAAGTTGTGAAGAAGAAAATTGAGCACTTCATTTCTAACTGAAGTTTCTGCTGATAATATCATTCAGAAGAACGATGAAATTTCAATGAATAAACCATCCGGTTCACAGAATAAAACTGTATCAGAATCGTCCAATTGAGTTATAGATCTTTCTTTTGAAACTCATCAACTGGATATTTCGGTATTTAGGGGTTAATATTAAAATCAATGTATTAGCTAAATTATGTTTATATAATTATTAGGAAGGGTTTAAATTTATTCTGCAGAAAGCATGAATGTATCGACCCTACATAGAACAAATCATTCATATTAAATTCTATCACCAACTACAATCAGTCTATTTTCCTATAAACATCTAACGAAATGACAATATCGATAAAAGATACGCATATCTCAACAAAGACTGATTAAATTTTGATACGATTTAGAATTTTCAGCACGAGGTATTTCAACAAGTTCTTTTCATGAAAACAAAGAGAAAGGAAAAGGATGGAAAAAGATCTGAATCTGCACAACTTTTCAAATTAGAGATATGTCTAAGAATACAGGTTATTGACTAGGTTAACTCTAACAATCTGTTCCTCACAGAGTATATTTGTTAGGTAAGGTATTATAGAACTTTCATACCTTTGCTTGCGTGCATGGATTTTAATGTATTTACGTCTCATTCTAGTAGAAGATATACAAGGAGAAATATATGAGTGAAGGGGATGGTCAGTGTCTGATAAGATAACACCTGCCAGAAATTTGAAAAACTTTAGATCTCTATCCATAATCATATGAATAATGACCTCGAAAGATTCACCACACACCTTGCTAACTGCCTTCAGCACTCTTCGCAATACAGCAAAGTCTTTTTTCAAAAGTCCGGGAAAGAATAATAGGTAATATGCAGGAATTAACAAATTCTAATAGTATATGTCGAGTAATCCCAAAAACATGTTGCCTCTTCATGTGGTAAGTCAGACTGAAAAATTTTCTGCGATAACAGTAAAACATAAGAAGACCAAGAGAGATCACATGAAGAAGTAACAGCAAGGTAATCGACCTTTAACACTGTGTTTATCAAACTCGTCAATGGCACAAGCCTTATGGAATCCCCAAATGGTGTTTACATGCTGTTCCTGTCTCAGGCTAAAGTTAACAGCTTGACATTTAAATGGATTAAGTATGAGACCATTAACAACAGATCACTATTGAGAACGAGACAAAAACTCATTCATTTCTATGAGATGTAAAGAAGTAGAAATCGGCATACATACAGTGAGATCATTCGCATATTTCACAAAAGTGTTTTCTGTAGAAGATGGCAGATCATACAAAAAAAGAGAAAATAAGAGGTGAAAGAACGGTTCATTGTGGCACACCTTTATGAGACAGTAGAGACGTTGAACACCAAACACAGTGTACTGTTCTCTTCCAGAGAGGTAGGAACATAGCCAATCGGTTATCCAGCTGTCAGTGTTCACGCTGAATAACTTATTAAGTAAAAGTTGTCTTGGAATATAATTAAAAGCGGAAGTGTAGTCCAGATTTTCTAGGTCACGATGGTATGATAGCCTATATATATACACTAAAGCAGTACTTGTCAAATATACTCTAGATACGTATCCGTTAATTAGCCACAACTACCATGTTTACGTGATCTTATGTATAAGCTTATTTCTATCTGTTTTATTATTTTTACCCGTATCATTTGTGATTGGCAGACGATCATTTCTTAAGTCAGTAACTTTAAATACCACATTTACATCTTTACTTCTATTTATGACCAGTTTTTTGACAGGTTGCGTAAGCAATTCGCAAGTGAATCCTTACTAACTTATGGTGTTGAGCTATCATCTTTTCTATATCACTTACTTTGATTTAACTATTTTGGTTAATGTAATCTGTCTTTGACACATATTTTAGTAGAACTTCAGTTGTTCTCTGTAAATTTACAATGTCAATTTTATTTGTGTTTTAATTGTACCGTATTTCTAATTATATGTGGTATGTACTTGTTTCAATTTCAAATTTTGTTTGGAATAAATAATTAATTTCAATAGTATTTAAAGACTCTTATATTATAGTTAAAATGATTAAACTACTGGTCGATTTTTTTTAATTCAGCAGTAAATTGAAGATGTAGAAGAATATCGTTTAATGTGGAATCACTAACTCATGACGCAGTAATTAAAGTCTTAATGGCATTTACAACTTCTTAGCTAAGATTAGGAGTGATTATAATTCCAGATATTAAAGTGCCTGCTAACCTGTTCCATCTATGAGATTTACATATCTGTAATATATCTGATACGGAAATTAAAGTATTGACTGATTGTAAAATCCCTTGAGTTCAAAGGACAATGAAATCGAGATTTCTAGATAACAACGAGCTATACATAATAAAAGAAAACCTATTAAGATTGTTCGTAAGAGGCCTTATATTCCGAATACCTCAAAGAATATGCATCACGATAAGAACCTACTTTGATATAACGGACTGATAATATTGTTGATATAGAATATATCACATACTACCTATTCATCAATTTTACTAATTTTTTGCAAACATTCATATTATGATGGAATATTTTATGATATTACCTGTTTACCAGCTGCAAGTGTTTCAACAGCTCGATCAAATTGTTTATTTTGTATAAAGAATTCTGAACATTTTTTTAATATAACCGAATCTAATTGTTCATCATTTGAAGAACTAATAATACTTTGTAAAGCATCAAATTGATAAGTATTAATTGCTAATTCTATAGCACGATTAATTTTACCAGCTTTATGATATAATAATACTGCTTTATCAATATAATCTGGATAATTTTCCAAATGTTTTGCTGATTCTAATATATCATCGGATCTACCTAATTGAGCTAAACTAAAAAGATGATCATTACGATTATGTTCCTGTAAGAAATATTTGAAGGGAAAAAAAACAATATGATAAATATTAAAATATCTTCTGTTATTGAAATGATAAATATAGTTATATATTAATACATAGTTCAAGATATTAATAAGTTTCACCAAATAAATAATGAAATATCAAAGATTTTTGAAAATCTTTATGTCATATCGATAAGTATCTATGCTATTTATGACATTTATAAGATATGAAACTAACCAACAAACCTTAAGTAAATCGTTTATTGATAATTTATATACAAATTCTTTTACTGCAAGATAGATATTAATAATAGTCAACTTATTTGTTTAATCATGGAGGTCCTCACCCGATTTTTAGGCATATACAGATAGTTTTCTTAGGAGACCACTTCCCGAGCGTTTGACTCAAATATCTACCTCAAAGGCAGTTAAGCAATGTCAAGATTTGTAGTCTAATGGCAGACAGTGAATAGAATAAGTTCTTACATCATTTATTCTCTCAGGGTTCCTGAGCATGATATTCAACATGGATTAGGAGTCGGAGTTTTGTAAACCATAAAAATGGACTATCTGTACCTAGCAACCCGGTTTAAGTGCTAGACTTCTGCTTTTTTCCTCTTTGAAAACCTCTACCAAATAAAAGCGGCGAATAGCACTTCCTTCACAGTGGCTATAAGCACGTAGCCATATAAAAGTGTTTTGAGACGGAGAATCGACTTTCTACATTTGTCTGTACCAATATATTTGAGGGAAAGATGGACGTTAATATTTGACGACTAATGAAAATTCTCGATATACGATTATGATTGGGACATAATATTCGTAGTTTTCAAGTCATTAATTATTTTTTTTTAAATACAAGACATCAGCTATATTGAGAAATTTTCGTTCATCCATCATCCGACGAAATAAAACGATATAAAAATACGTAGATATATGGTGTATGGTAAAAATAACTAAAAGCAGAACTGGTGCAAACCTTCGCAATTAAAATGCAAAATGAACTTAGTTTTAAAATGTGACGAATATTCAGGACTTGACAACGCAGTTGACCGTAGCAACCTAATGGTTGAGGATACCCAGCGCAGTCAAACCAGGGATCAAGAATGAAGGAATGGAAGACATATTTAACAAACAATAATTAATGTTCTTTAGTGTATGATGGGATATGGTCAAATCACGAAGTCAAATAACTCTTGATAAATGCTAGCTATAATATCTATTTTTCAACATAACCAACATTATGATCGGTTTGGGTGGTTGAAGTTGGTCAGTAGAAAACTCTGCAACAACGTTTCGTGCCAGTTAGCACTCTTCATCAATAGATATCTGAAATCGTTAGGACACTGATTCTTTACATAGGATTCAAGTTTCACATTGCAAAACGTTACCATCAAGACATTCGGGGTGAGACATACCCTGAGTGAGACAAAGATATTTACAAATGATTGATCAATTAATCATTACCAATTTCATGTTAGTCTAATTTTTTAGTGTTTATGATGTTATGTTGATTCGCTTTTATTACCTTGCACAAACGTATTGCACTTGAATAAGCTTTTGCTCTTGTCAATAAACGAATTGCTTGGTCTATACAACCTTTCAATTTCAAATGATTCCCTAAATGATGACAAGCACCAGGATCATCAGTTTCATTACATATTGTTTCAGCTTCTGATTCTTCACCAAGACAACATAGTACACGTACTAATGACAGATGGTCTTTTGAGTTAGAATAATATGTTTTCGCTTCCTCGAGACGACCTTGAGCTTCTAATGTTTTTGCCCACCAACTTTTAATATTTCTAAGTCCAAAAAGAAAAGAAAATGAATGTTTTAACGTTTAGTTAGTCAATTTATGTTTTTTTAAGATTTCACCACAGTTGGTGATACAGAATGAGATAATTTAATGACTATATTGGAAGAGCCTGTTTACACAGTCTTAGTTTTCACATTTTGCACATCTGGATTTTCACAGTTGGAATAACGAATCAATTTGATTTAGATCATAATTAAAAATCTGAGAGCACTGGACGGCCTTTTAGTTCTAGTACGGCACTCCTCGGTATGCACACCTACGATCCCACACGCGAGAGTCGGAGCCAGGACACTTGATCTCGCGTATGAATATTTAACCTCTTACTTACTTACTTATGCCTGTTACTCCCAATGGAGCATAGGCCGCCAACCAGCATTCTCCAACCCACTCTGTCATGAGCCTTCTTCTCTAGTTGCATCCATTTTTTGCTCATTTTTCTCATGTCTATCTCCATTTCTCGGCGTAATGTGTTCTTTGGTCTTCCTCTTCTCCTTAGGCCTTGAGGTTTCGATGTAAGGGTTTGTCTTGTGACGCAGTTCGGTGCTTTCCTCAATGTGTGTCCTATCCACTTCCAGCGCTTCTTCCTGATTTATTCCTTCACTGGGATCTGATTTGTTCTCTCCCACAGTAGGTTGTTGCTAATAGTGTCCGGCCAACGGATCCGAAGTATTTTGCGTAGACAACTGTTAATAAACACCTGTATCTTCTGGATGATGGCTTTCGTAGTTCACCAGGTTTCCGCCCCATACAGTAGAACTGTCTTCACATTTGTATTGAAAATTCTGACCTTGGTGTTGGTCGCCAATTGTTTTGAGTTCCAGATGTTCTTCAGTTGTAAATATGCTGCTCTTGCTTTGCCGATCCGCGCATTCACATCTGTATCAGATCCACCGTGTTCATCGATGATGCTGCCCAAATATGCAAAGGTTTTTACATCTTCCAAATCTTCTCCGTCAAGTGCGATTGGATTGTTGCATGCTGTGTTGTATCGGAGAATCTTGCTTTTCCCTTTATGTATATTGAGACCTATTGCTGCTGAGGCTGCAGCTACACAGGTCGTCTTTTCCTGCATTTGTTGTTGCGTTTGTGATAGATGAGCCAGATCATATATGACGGTTTAACCTCTAGATTTATCTATCTATACACATAAAAAACTAGAGTATGTATTCTAAGATTTATTTTGCCCCAACTTATATTAAATCACTGCATATATATATAAAGATACTCAACATTGAAAATCTATCCATGTTCAATGGAAATAATGATCAATAAAATTTAGCAAAAATGTTTTATTCAAATAAATTAAATATACTTACTGATCATTTTGTTTATTCACAAACGATTCTAATAATTCTGGATTATTTTGTAACATTCTAGGAACTTCAAACTGATAAGTTCCTGATTTAGTATAACTAAATATTAAATATGAATGAATTTTTTTAAATTTTAACAAATTAAAATAAAAAAGACAAATATGACTGTAAAAACGGTGAGATTATAATTTATGGATGAACCAATCAGACTTAGGCGGGAAATTCACTCACCTATTTGAACAAATAGCATTTTTGCATTTTAGCTGATGTCAGTTCGTGATGAAATACGTCAATCTAATTCCTAAATCTACTCATCAATTGTAAATCATATTCCTTATTCTTCAAACTGCTTTATAACCCTCATTTAACCCTAGTAAGTAGGTACACACTCTGAAGGTCACTTTGGCTTCGCTCAAAAATGGTTCATAAATTATGGTCTCACTGTAAAAACATATCAGGATCAGTTCTTTAACGACATAAGTTTATAACGAACAAAATGCCTGATATAATAAAATGTAGATAATCACAATTTGTTGGCGTTTATCTTAGTATTATACCATTATAATTATTGTTAGATGTCGTAAGTTTTACATTGTAAATGAAGCTAGAATATGAAAACTATGGATGATTGGTGATTCCTTTTTTTTCTCTCTGATTGGTTAATTAGTTTCAACTATTCTCTCTATAAAACTATGTTTTATTATCAACATTTCAAATGTCACATAATCAGGAATATTAAACAATAATTTCACTTGTATAAGTAAATTTACAAAATTTCAAACATTCAATTGTAGAAACCCAAATGGATCCTCTTATCCCATATGTAATGCTAAAAGCTGACAGTATCATCAAAATGACAGACTGACTAGATGAGAATTCCTGAAAATTTAAAGTTCCATTCTACTAATCGTGAAGTTTCACAATATCTACCTTGTATTTACATTTAAATTTATGATAAAAGGATATTCTTAGTTGCAAATAATCAGTTTTTCTAGAAAGATAATACTAAATAAGAATATAGTGGGCATTTAGAAATAGAACAGAAATCTCAGGATACTTTCGATAAGGAGGAATTCAAGCAGATAAATATTTGACTTGAGAAGCTTTAATTATCAATATCAAGAATGTTACGAGGAATTATTATTTCTTAACAAATAGAGTAAATTAAGAAAATAGCTCATTCTACATTAGAATATCATAAATATATATAATGGTCAGCCATTTTATCTATAAAACTCAACATTATCTTTTCAAGCAACATATTATTTAGTCTTACTACTATCTAAATGAAAACACTTAATGAACTTCAACAAACCTTTTACAATTCAAAGTATAATCGTTTGTGAGTGTACATGTTAGTACTTGAAAACTGTTTTATTTCTTTTTTGGTTATAATATTATAATCATTGGCACATAGATTTCCATCAGAATGACAGTGTTTAAATGTTTGAAGTCAGTATCTTAACAGATATTCAAGACAAGTACAGTTCTTTATCACTTTTATTCGGGTTACTAAACAATTTTAACAATAAAGAAAATAATCTTGAAGTAATAAAACTCACTGTTCAATAGCTTGCTGAATGTTACCCACAGACTCCAATTCTTTAGCATAGGCATAATGAATACTACGTAATAACATACGATGATGTTGTTCAGCCGTTATCAAAGCTTTGTCCCAATTACCAAGCGACTGATGTAAACGAATTACCAAGTCCCAACGATTACATTGAATGAATAGTTGTTCAGCCTCATCCTTAATAAATTAAGCCAACATGAATTATTCAGAGTTATCAACCTTTGAAAGTATCATAGTATCATACCTTGTCTGACTAATGTATGAGATATACAAAATATATCATGGATTTTAATATCCATCTAATTTCAGTAAATCAAATACAAATCAGTGTACGGCGGAAAAAAGTCACACGAAAGTATCTATTTTACACAAACATTTTGAGCCCAAGAAGTCCTTATGTAACTCTACGCGAGCTAGTGAATGAATAGTATAGTATTCAATGGTTAGTTTTAAAGTATTAGACAAGCTGCTGTGGATATTTTTACCATAACTTCAAACTATTGACTAAGGCATCTAAATTCACTCTTAGACTTGGTTCTAATCTTGAGTTGTATTCATTAAGATTACAGAAAAAATAATTTTAATGGCATTGTCTTTCTTTGAACTAAATGCCTTAATCAACAAAACCTTTTCAATCTATATGGTATCAACTAAGGGATGTAATAACAACGCCAGACAAGTAGAACAAAATTAAATTGTCACAACTATGTGAAACACCATACAAAAAGATGTCTTCTTAGTTTCCTTCATAATTCATTAATTCTTAAGTGTCATGAAATAGCTCCGCTCAAATGAACACATGTTACCTAATGTTTACAAGGTTTTCATTGGAAGTGTGTTAAAATCGTCAAAATAAAAAAAATGAAAGGAAGGATTTCTAGAGGTATGTCACTCATCTTACTTAACAATCAATAGATTTGTTGGAATATCTTCAGTTTATTAGCTATTGAGGAAAATGCTAAGTACCTTCGAGATCAGGGATTAGATGAGAAAAAAACAGTCTAGAAAAAACCTGGTCACACTTCATAATGTAATTATTGACAAAAATCAATTACATCCCTATTGTCAGTGGAAGGTATAAGTAAATCGTTACAAAGAAAAACTTTGTGCATAGACCAATCAGTTTACGGAATCTATTTTCACCAAGTCGCTTAGATTATTTATTTAAACACTATTCGGGAAAAGTCTCTTGATCTGATGTCATTTTCAGAGATCAAAAAACCATCTAGGTAGATTGAGTTTGTTACAAAATCTACTGTAGCGGTGAATAGATCCCCAAAATAAATAGACCTGTAAGTTTTCGACATTGCATGCTTAGTTTTAATCGAATCATCTAGCTGAAGGCGCTCGGTCATGCATCCGCACCAGATCACGTGTGGGAAAGCCGTGCTCAACATCTACCGCAATCGCTAGTCAGATTAGTTCAGACGATCCTCGATATATTGATAGCTTATCAAATATATCTTCGATCTCCTCGCTTCTGTCTTTTGATTTCACTTGGTGGGTACGCTTCATATTAGAAGGTGTTACTGGTTAAAGTGTTGTCAAACTCCATCTTCATTGGTGAGCCCGACGTGATCTGGTACACTAAATTGCAAACTGTGAGTCTGTTCCTTTTTGGGATTTAATATATCATTGTCTTATTTTAATTTTTTATACATTGTGATATTTTTTCGTATTTTTGGATATATATATATTTTTTCCACTCGTCCATTATCGTACTTAATATATCTTTATGACTGAACAGACACCTAAGATATTTAAGTTAAAGACTGTGTCCCTACCTTCGTTCCAACTAATGCCTTTCTGGCCTGACAACATCGAAGCCTGGTTTTGCTACGCAGAAGCCGACTTCTATGAGCACGGCGTGAACGACACACGTGCACAATTCCTCGCAGTAGTCAAGACACTACCGCGCGATTTCAACAGGTACGTAACACCTAGTATGTTTACTGGTGATGTTTCTGAACCATACAAAACTCTTAAAAGATCCATCCTTAAACGCGGAGATCTAACCGATCGACAAAGGTTAGACCAACTCCTTAACAACATTGACCTGCAACACGGCTCTGCCACAGACATGTTGCAAAGAATGGGAAGTTATTGGCCAAAGAACCTTAAATGATGACCTGTTCAAACAACTTTTCTTATCCAAACTTCCTCAAAAGGTGCAAGCTGTGCTGGTCTCGTTTCAAAACAACGCCGTAGACGAGCTGGCTGCATCTGCCGACCGTATCCTCGAAATCACTAAACCTTCTAACGCCGAGGTTTTTTCAGTCAAAGAAAAGCCTCAAACGACCCAGAATGACATAACAGAGTTGTGTTATACACTTACGCGTTATATTAACCTTCGTAACAACCGTAAACGGTCACACACCACGCAATGAAGCACATTACGTAGGCGTTCTGTCTCTAGACCTCGAGAAACGAATAACCCTGATTGGTGCTGGTATCATAACCAGTACGGGAAGTCCGCCAGAAATTGCAGAAAACCCTGCAATTTTCCCAAATCAAAATCGGTTGACATGAGAAACGATTCGGGAAACTTCCAAGCCAGCACGCGTTAACGACAACTGTAACCGGCGAACTTAGCCGTCTGTTATACGTCACAGGTGTGATAACGAGAGTTCGCTACCTCGTAGATACTGGCGCAGAAGTTAGCGTTCTCCCAGCGAATTCCAACGACCGGCTACACGAGCCCGTTTTAAATCTACAGGCGGCAAACGGAAAGCCTATCGCTACGTATGGAAAAAGGTACGTTTATCTTAACGTGGGTTTACGCAAACCCATTCACTGGATCTTTGTTGTTGCGGATGTTTCCATGCCGATCATTGGTATGGACCTTCTACAGCACCACAACCTAATCATCGATACGCGCGAACGGAGGCTAGTAGATGGAAATACTATTTTATCTGTTTGCGTAACTTATTTTTCTGGTTGCAGGTTATCTCCAGTCACAATTAAGCACAATATAGACCCCTTCTATCAACCAATACTCGATAATTATTCTGGCATTTATCAAACGCAACCGAAATTGCCGTGTGTAACCAGCAACGTTACACATCACATCACGACTACAGGAACACCTGTATTCTCTAAAGCACACCGACTGGCCTCTGAAAAGTTAAGGTTGGCGAAAAACGAATTTGACCATATGATAGACTTAGCAAGCATACAACCGTCAAATAGACCATTGGCATCTCCTTCGCACATGGTCCCTAAAAAGGACAGCAACGATTGGCGTCCAACTTGTGACTATCGGCGACTGAATGCAAAAACCATTCCCGATCGTTACCCGTTGCCTCACATTCACGATTTGACAGCTATCTTGAAAGGTACAACTGTTTTTTCGAAAATTGACTTGGTTAAAGCCTATAACCAAATTCCTATGGCAAACTCCGAATACCTGTGGCATCTTCACTACAGTCCTGTACAGTTCTTAATAACAACTACCTGAGAGCAATCTAAATGAGCAGTTTCATTTTAGTAAAATGTTCAGAGAATAAATCTCCAATTGTTACCATTAAAAAGGGATAGGTTATCAAATACTTAAGAAAATCTTATAAACGTTTTATTTGGAAAAGATTTAATACAAAAACATGCGTAAAGAGGTTTTTGAGAGCTATCAAATATCATACTATACATAACGAACTAACCTTAGTTAAATAACCATTAGAAACTAGGGAACGCTAAACAGCTGTTAAGCCCCGGTTATATGATTTTTTAGCGATACCTCATATGTAGTACAATTGTAAACAATGAAGGACTGGAAGTATATTCAATATTACTAATGGTGGTGTGTTCCTAACTGAACATGAAGTTCTGGGGTTAGATCCCTGATGGTATCGTTGAGGTGCATTTTTGAGTCGTACATCAAGACAAAACGTGTATCTACTGCTTTACAGTGGTTATCTAACTGAAATCATTCTGTGATTAAACCTTAAAAAAACAAATGTAGTTGTAAAGTAAAAAGGTTATAATCATTCTGGACTTCAGAGTTAAATTTTAATTCTATACTAGTTACCTAGAGATTTAAATTTAGTATTCCCTGAAAACAACATACATAAATTTGGATCAATTTTACATCAGTATGGTACATATGCCAATAATTTATTAGCTGACAAAATATTGTTAGTTACTATAATTGTATGATAATTAAGTTTATTTATTTCACGAGAATTAGTCAGACATTTTAATACTGTCAAATTAGCGAAAAGAAATGAGCTAACTGTAAAATAGTAAACATTAAAGAAGGATTTCAGTTTATGTTTAAAATATTGAAAAATTTAATATCATATCTTAGAACTATATAAGTTATATCACAAACTTATATATATATATATATACCTTAGATCACAATCTGAAACAATGATAGTTAAAATAAATGATAGGAATTTAAAGGAAATCTGAAGAATATAGTATATATTTTACGTAAACAACTTAATCATCTACTCCAAAATACAGTACTCACTGGGGTAAGAATATAACAGAATAAATCTTAACATGGTAAGAAAACAAGAAATGACATATGTCTACTAACTAATGAAATGTAGACTGTAAGTATCATGAATGAATTTTATCAAACATGAAATCAATGATTAAACAGTCTTTTTAAAAATGATTAATATGACTATTTATAGTAAAACCAGTGATAAAGAAGAATTACTTGCCCACTGATTTAAACAACATTATGAGAAATTAAGAATGCAGCAAGCATTCATTCCTTATGTAAAATCATTCACTGATCCTTTTGTTCATAATACCTCATTTCGATTCATGAATAAAATGAACTTTAGCTGGAGTAAACTATACTAATGATCAGTATCAAAAAGAATTGTCAAAGTTTCTATAAAGAAGGCATAATTAGTGAAATTCAACCAACTTTCAAATGAGGCAGATATCATGCCCTATAGTGAATGGTGATAGTAATTTGTTATAAATTAACTACATTTTAAAAATATTAATCATTAAATTCAGGTTAATTATCTCTAGAAGTAAAGTGCTCTCTCTGTCAGACATGAAAGCCCTTAGCTCATTCTCATACACAATTATAAAGGGAATTCTAAACTATGATATTTAATGTTTTCTGGCTTACAATTTTTCTGGTAATAATTTAAACCTATTAAGAAAATCAACGACAAGAAAATCTTCCCAAAAAGACCGTTTAAAATATTTAAGTAATAAGACGATTGAAAAGTAAATTAAAGTTAAACACTTACAATCATACCAATTTGTAAAGCTAATTCTCCTGCTTGAGCTTCTAATTCTGGTTCTTTACTTTTAAATTCACGTAACATTTTTGATCCTATTGGATTATTTATTTTTCCTAAGCAAACACGAGCAACATCTAATCGACAAGTAGCAACACACATTTTAGCCATATTCTATAAAATAAATTTTTTTTTAAAAGAGAAAAACAGTTTGTTTAAACAAATTGTACTATAAAGAAAGTCTAATTAAGGTATAAAAAAACCTGGAAGCACTGGACGGCCGTTTTGTCCTATTGTGGGACTCCTCAGCAGTGCGCATGTACGACCTCACCCCCTGCGAGATTCGAACCCAGGACCTACTGGATGCGCACTGCTGAGAAGTCCCACAATAGGACGAAACGGCCGTCCAGTGCTTTCAGGTTTTCCATAGTGGCCTAACTTCAACTGACTCATGACCTTAACCATTGAAATTAATATAATATCCACAAAATCCACCTGGTATAAAAAAGACACAATACATTTTTATAAAGAAAGCATGAAGAAAATAAGTAGTGTTACTATCCATCAAATTATTTTTCATATAGATATGATTTCATAGCCTATTAAAATGAAATTGTCTACAAGAAACTTTTCTTCAGAATACAAGTTTATAGAAATTATAGTAATTTAATAGTTAAATTTATGAGTCGATTTAAAATAGATAATCTCTGAAAATCTGGAAGTATTGCTGAGGAGTCCCATACTAGGACGAAATAGCCATTCAGTGCTTCAAGGTTTTCAATGAAATTCTATCTTAGATCAACTCATGAATTCAATTATGAAGATTTTCTTCAATGAAATAATTTAGTTCTCAGTTGAAGTTATCAATTCAATATAATTTTGGCTGTTTAAAAATTCCCATAAAATATTCAAATACAAAGAATATTTTTTTGATGGAATTTTGTTCTCTGAGCTGGATAGTTTGGTCGTGGAGCTTTCACCGTTCTTCTAAACGACATCTATCTGAAGTTTGTGCTGATGATGTCGTTCAGAAGAACGATGAAAGCTCCACGACCAAATCATCCAGATCAGAGAACAAACTTCCATCAAAATCATCCACCTGAGCTACAAATCTCCACCATCTCACAAAGAATATTCGAGAAAACAATTATCTCCAATAACTTCTACGTCAGGTTCATAATTATTATGTTACATTATAAAAAACCGTAATAAGGTTTTCTAAAGAATTAAATAATGTTCTATGTTTTATTTTAGTTGAAAGGTTTTTTACATGAGGATTGTCTTAATTTGTAAGTTGTATTTATCATAGAATGAGATATCTGTCGATGCTAGGAACTACTTGAGACGTGTTCCTTTCTAGCATGGGATTCCATAGTAGTGAGTAATTAATATTCTAACAGAAATTGAAACTAGGACACTCAGGTTTCATTGCAAACAAATTATCATTTGAAACATCAGGTCAGCGTCAAATCGTATAATTTCAACTTGAAATCAATTTTTAATGTAACTTGACGACTATCCAATCCCATTGGAGAGAACTGTTTCAATTCTAAAACACTTCAACTTATTTATTTTTCATTACAATTATTTCAATAGATGGAGTAATACATGAAGAAGATCTAGTCGAAATCAATACTGTCTGCTTAAATATCTTATAATAATTTACATAATAAGAATTTTCTAGTGCTTACGCTTATCCAAAGATTTCATCGTATATTTTTGCAAGAAATAATGACAGAATAATAAAACATTTTAAAAATGTATAACTCTAGTAAGCATAAATTTGATGTTGTTATGATTATTTTACTAATGTTTGCCGATCTCATATGTGTTGTGTCAGGCGATCTTCCGAGTCTGATTCTAATATATATGGTTTCTATATATGTACCCAACCAGCTCTTTGCGTAAAAACATTAATAGTGAGTAGGAAGCTTTTATTGACTAACTGAATCAAAATATATGTACAAACTCGTTCGTAAATAAAACCTGCTTTCCTAAGAAAATTGAGCCACATCTTTAATCACTAGTGTGTGTTTGTCTTCCTCAGAAAATCAAACCAAATCTTGACCAATAGCGCGCACTCATCAGCAATGCTCAGTTATCAACTGACCATGAACTGAAATGTCTGATTGATCAATCCTATCAATATGTAAGGTGGCTGAGAGCAGTCTGTTCAAACATTAGAACTAGGTTTCGCAGTAGTTAGAACTCATCACCAAGGCTAACTATAAATCTTGAGGCTACTGATGCTTCTTTATGAGATTTAAACCAGAGTCACCCAGATTCATAGTTTAAAATGTTGAAAGTGAGTTTTTGTTTCGCGACTGAATTTTTGTGGGATCGAGATATTTACATTTACTCATTACTTGAGTAGTGATTAATGTCATGTTTTCCTGGTCCTCAGCCCTGATAGAATTCGATCATTCAAGTTATAATGCATTCACTTTATATACCTTCTTATAAGATTATATGAAATATTAGCCTAGAATCCCAATTAAAAGTTATAATAACATGAGTAACAGACCATACTAAAATTTTTCACAGTTGAATTGTTTCTTTAATTATTATTAATGCCACTAATATCATTTAAATTTAATCGAAAATCACTCAGCACAAAATACACCTTGTGATAATCTTTCAGAATCTACATAATTATCGGATGGTTTGAATGACCCAATTTTTATCAAATCATGATTATCATTATGGTAGTTTGTGAAGATTACAGCATTTTCACAGTTGAAATCATGGGTCCATCTAAGCTAGACCAACAATGAAAACCTGGAGGCATTGCTGAAGAGTCCCATACCAGAACGAAACGGTCGTCCGTTTCACCCTCGAATGGAACTCCTCGGCAGTACACATCCACAATCCCGCATGCGGTACTCAAACCCAGGGGCCTCTATCTCGCGCGCAAACACTTAATCTCTAGACCACTAACCTGGCATCCAACGGTGTTGATGTCAAACTTCAAACAATCCATAAGCTTGTGCAACCCTTCATCCATTGCCTGAGGTAGATACCTGTCTCACTCTACATGGATTGCACTTCGCTGATCACGGTTACTCAATAGAACTCCATAAGTTACATCTTGAAGCTAATCATTAGTGAGTACATGATTTTAATCAGTATGGGGATTTATGGACGAGACTCATACTGGGACAAAGTGGTCGTTTCGTGCTTCCACGTTTTCACTAGTGGTCTAGCTTAAATCGACTCATGATTCCAACTTTGAATATCACTATTAATCGAGTTTCGTCAAACTCAAGTGTGAGCATTGTTTTTTTTGTATGGTGAGATAATTAAATCAAATATTTGTTTAACTAAGTCATTCCACACTTCTCTGTATCAAAGAATGATTCACTATAACATACCTGCCAAACTACTGAACTTTTAATCAATTTCATAACTCTAAATGCAGAATCCATTTCACCTAATGCTAAATAATAGCTGAAATTTAGCATAGCTTCACGTGTTTTCTCATCAGCATCTTCAAGACCAATAAAATTTTGCATTACACACCTATTAATATAATGTACTCTATTCTGAGTTGTTGATTCATCACCATCATTCACTTCACTATTCATCGATTTCCTTCTCGACTGACTATTGATATCATCATTATCATTCAATTCTTCATCTCTATGCAATGATGTATTCAGATCTACACCATTATTATGATTACTTGTAATTGTTGATGTACAATCAATTTTATTGATTATAAGACGATCAGATGTAATCTTTTCAGAACGATTTCGATATTGTTCATCAAGAATAAGATGATTTAAATCACACTGAAAAATTGAGAATGAATTTTATTACTATTTTTGATGTATTAGATGGGTACACAATAGGATCAATTAATGGAATATTAATGGATGACATTTTCAAATGATATATAGACGAAAAATGATCATTTAAAACGGGCATATTATTTATAAACAATCGTAACATAAAAATAATTAACTTCGAATATCGATACTCTTTTATATCCTCTTAACAACTACTTTTATATTAAATAAGATTTTTGTATAATGGACAACATAGACCATAGGACATTCCTTATATATTTTCCTTTACTTTCTCTTGATAGTATGCTAAAACTGTTTAACATTTTACGATAACTACTGAAGGATAGAATGTTGGTAAATCTGACTGAAAAGTTCTTTGGTTTTACAAGTCAATATGCATGTGAAGAAAAATATGACGATAGTTTACACCTCGCTATGCAATCATCTAGAAGGCTAACGAAAACTAATATGAAACAAATAGTTATTTCTCTGTAATCTAGAATTCTTCATCAGTTCGAGCGTTCATGACATTACACATGACCGAATCTATAACTTGTAAATTGACTGGGGTGCCAATCATGAATGACTGGATATTCACCTTATGAGTTAAAATTGTATCGTACTTAGCGTTGAAATGTTTTCCTAATTTTGAATATCATGACCTGTTTTAGGATAGGGTATATAATCAGTACTATTTTCAACCTTAATGTATCGCATTATGAAGCGAACTTATAGATTCAGATTTTGATGGTTGAATATTACCGAAAAGTAGAATGTCATAAGCGACAGTTTTTTCTAGTTTAAAACTTCTCAACATTTCATTAACAGTTGCCATTGGACAGGTCAAACAAAGAGCCTCCAGATTATATAACAAGCTCCTTTATTAATGATCACAATGTTTACATCTTCCTACTTTTATCAATCTATAAAATAGCTGGACCGTTCTTCAGCTGTACCATATGTTGATTGTCACCCTAAAAACATCGTTAATTTTCGTATCTTTTAACTTCTCATTAGAACTTCGGGAACTTTGCCTCAAAGCAAATCACATGCCAGCCTACAGTTATAATTTTCACCTATTTGTTTGTTCTAAAAATAGTTCACATCAGAGATTTGCATAGTTTTTTAAAATAAATATAGCTTAATAAGTTTTTGCTTGTATAAAGGTAATAAGTGGTAACGTACACGAACAGAAAAATATATGAAAGGCACTTCAACACCAATCAATGCACTATGATGAAAAGACATTAGAAATGATCCTTCAATTATTGTATCATTTCGATCTGGACTAATAAACAATGAAACAATCGAAGTAGAAACTTTCGGTTTCTAAGGAAATAAAAATAGAGAAGCAAAGAGAAATTCATTGGTAAAAAATTGTACTATTAATTGTTTAACATAAATAAACCAATGGTTACTGAAATACATTTGTTGCTGGTAGATTTGTTTATCAAAAATACAGCTCTTACGTGATGATTTACTAATTATTGACTACTTATTTGTTAGTATAATGAACATAAGAACAGTCACAAGTTTATTATATGTAACTCAATGTTAGTCTAAAATATATCATATTAAAACATCAAAGTGGTTAGTCGAAAACTATAGCTTAAACCTTTGAGAAAAACCAAAACTTAGTTATAACAAGAAATTCATTGATTGACTGTACCAAGCAATCATAATCTGTCTTATGCTGTAACGAAGAATAACTTCAATTCTTTTATTGATCGAAGAAAATTGCTATCTCAATTATAAAATCAACTGTACTGCGTTGAAAATAGAATTAGTTACAAAGTATATTGACAGTTCCAGTTAAACAAAAGTAATCAATGAACAATCATGGAAGTAATCGAGGAGAGGTTTGAATACCTATCAGTTTGAAACTATAAAAAACAATTATTTAGTATCGTTTTTTTAATTTTCATTGAGTATACAACTGTGTAATATTGTCACCTTTAATATAAACTATAACATAAAACCCAGTAAATTTGGTAGATTAGTTGTAGTGTATTTGATATTTTCACTGATCACCTACACTCAACCAAAATCACATTTTATAGTTTCACGTCAACGACCAACCTTAGTTAGAGAGCCATTTAAATCCAGAAAATACTGGAAAGCTAAACAACCAGTCCACTATATAAAAGAGCATATTTCAACAATCTCCACATCCAAATATGTTAAGAAATAATAACCAACTAATCAAACGCTTCAAACAATAAGATTCCTTTCTACTTTCACCTCTTTGACATAAACGAGCAGTAGTAATGATAATAATTATGATTACAAGGTCCTTATTTGTTCACATATCAAATAAAAGCAAAATCTTGGGATGTTTGAAGAGTACGTTATGAATTATGTTCGTAGATAAAAATGTCATCAGCTTATTCGTACATTAAACACTCTAAATCAATCTGACCATAGTGTAGTATTGTGATGTATGCTTCGTATGTCTGTCGACATAAATAACATGTAACATCAATCAGAATCGTAACGCCTGGCAGCAGAAGGTTGAGAAGATAGAATTGAATAGAACTAGAATGCAAACAGAGAGTAATTGTAATAACAAAAGGGATGAAGGAACGATAAGGTTTGTAAGAGTCAATTGATGGAAGATATGCAAATGAATTATTTAATGCATATTTTCCGTATTTTATGAAAACATTCTGTAATTTTGTATTAACTAATGAATTGTTTTTTCCTCCATGGGTGTTCGTTCACTACAATATGTCTTTACTTTAATAACAGAATACCTTATATGGAATACTAGTTAAGACATGCTAACTTAACCAGTTCATCGTAGACTCCTATTTTGACTCATTTACTTTAAAGAGAATGGATGTCATTTTCATATGATAGATATTGAATTACGGCTACCAGTAAAAAACCCCAAGGCACTGAAGTTCAACGGAATGCCAACAACGAGCATTAACTGAAATAGAATGTATTATTTAAATTCATCTATCAGCCACTAACATTAATAGCAAGAGAGAGGTTTTATTCAATGTAATCTTATTCAATAGAAAACTGGAGTTTATTACCAGTGGTACATTTAAACATTTAGAGTTACAATTCAAAATGATGGCGAATTGCCAAAACCATACTCGTGCGAACGTAAGGAGTTCGAAAAAAAAATTTATCTAAATAATAAAGAATAAAGGTGTTATGTTCTCCACTTGAATTCGCACGAACACTATATAATTGATGACACTCGAATGTTACAACCTCCAAACCCTCGCAAGTAAGAAGACGAAAGACGTTGAGAGCACTTATTTGACAAGAATCAAAATATACAATAAAACATGCGTATTTATACAATTATATATATAATCAATATTGCCATGGAAGTTTTTGAACATTAATCGATAAATTAGTCAATCGATTGCCATTTTAAATATAAAAACATCTGATCGATAAGTCCGTCAATTGACTATGTGCGTGAGTGCCTTTCCGGTGGCCATCCCAACACCTCCCCCGAATAAGAATTTTTCCTTGGGTCCACTTGCAGTCTTACGACTGGGTTGCGACGGCGTTCAATTCTGGTTGTAATTTTTCTAGGTAATGTCTCTAACCTTTTTTCTCTTCAGTATTCCGGGACGAACATGTAGTTGTCGATTCTGTGACCAACTCCAGCGGTAGTTTACATGATTATCTCTGGAATGTATCATTCTTTTGTCCTTTCTCATTTGGTTCGTGTGTCTGACACAGCTCCCGAAAGCTCCTGTTATCCGATACAAAACTCTTCCTAGTCTTTGTACAACGGTCCCTGGTTCCCATCGATTTTTCCCAAGATATGATTGTAGAAACACTTTATCGCCAACGTTAAAGCTGTGCATTTTTTGATTTGGCCTGTACCTATTCACTCTTTTAGGAGGCAACATCGCGTTGAGAATAGTTCGAATACATCTTCCGAACATTGCTTCGGCTGGGGACTTTCCATCTGGGACCGTATGGTTCGGCGTGCTTCTGTAAGTCGTTAAAAATCTAGTTGGCCCCTCGTCTCCCCTTTTCAGTAAATCTCTTTTGAAGGTGTCAACGAAGCGTTCTGCTTGTCCATTGGATTGGGGGGTGTTAAGGTGGAGACCGTAGATGCGTTATGCCGTTTGAACTGCAGAATCTCTTGAATGAGTCCGCAACAAATTGTGATCCATTATCAGTTACCAAGGTTTCTGGCACTCCAAAACAACTAAATAAGGTAGACAGCTTGTGAATAGTTTCCGAGGCTGTGCAGTTCGGCATGCTGTATATTTCTGGCCATTTCGTATATGCATCCACAATAATTAAGAACATTTTACCTTGGATTGGGCCAGCAAAATCTACATGAATTCTCTTCCAAGGTCCAGTAGGTTTTTGACATTGTTGAGGTTCACATTTCGAAGGGTATTTTGCGGCTTGTAAACAAGAAGAGAAGTTTCGGCATTTGTTTTCGATATCTTTATCCGTCGATGGCCAGTAGGCGTAACTGCGCACCAATGATTTTATCTTGTTTATCTCAGGGTGACCACTGTGAAATTGCTTGAGGATTTTATGTCGTAATAATTCTGGGATAATAATCCGGTCACCAAACATAATACATGAATCCACAATCATGAGTGAATCGCGCCGGCGGAAATATTGTTGCAGTTCTCCTTGTAAACGACGATTCGGCCACTTTGAGAGGAGATAACCCTTAACTTCTTGTAGTATTTTGTCATTTCTTGTAGCTTCTTTAGTAACTTCGAACGTAACCGGTAGACCATCTACTGCGTCTTCCAAAACTCGATGTACTTCTGTCTCTGTCTCAATCGCTGCCACCAAAGTATCTTCGTGATTCGCTTGGGAACCAATGAGCCTAGACAAAGCATCAGCTTGTCCGAAAGCAGTAGTAGGTTGGTATTTAATTTTGAAGTCGTAACCAAATAATGTTGTTCCCCATCGTTGCAGTCTGTTTGCAGTATAGACCGGGATTCCTTTCTCTGACCCAAATATGGCTAGCAGAGGATTGTGGTCCGTTAAAAGCGTGAACTGGCGTCCAAATATCATCTTATGAAATTTTCTTACCGCAACAATAATTGACAATGCTTCCTTTTCGATCTGACTATGGTTGCGTTCTGTTGTAGTTAAAGACCTTGCTGCATGCGAGATTGCTTTCTCTGATCCATCAGGCATGATATGCGAAATGCTTGCTCCAATGCCGTAGTTTGAAGCATCTGATGCTACTACAATATGTAGGGATGGGTCATAGTGTGTCAACGACAGATCCGAGAGTAGCAGTTTTTTGATCTTCTCGAAAGCAGTTTGACAACTTTTAGACTAACAACACTTTGCGTTCTTTTTTAAAAGACTATTTTATGGGGCACGTAAACGATGAAGGCCCGGGATAAAAGCTCTATAATGACTAAATAGCCCCAAAAAGGATCGAAGTGTGGGAACATCTGTCGGTCTCGGCATTGCCTTCAAAGCTCGAGTGTTCTCTGGATCTGGTTTTCTCCCGTCCTTACCGATGATAAAACCGAGGTAGTGTACACTCTGCATGTAAAACTCACATTTTTGTTCACGAAGCCGGAATCCATATTCAGCTATTCTCGATAGCACCTGGTCGAGCTTCTTTTCCATGTCTATTCTATCAATGCCCATAATTATTATGTCATCCAGATAAGCTGCAACACGAGCGAGATCATGTAGCATAGTATCCATCACCTGTTGAAATATGGAGGGGGCCGTTTTGACTCCAAAAGTTAACCGATTATATCGGAATAGGCCCTCGTGAGTGTTTATAGTAAGCAGATCTTTACTTTCATCCGCGACAGGAATCTACAAATAAGCTTCCGATAAATCCAGTTTTGCAAACACCTTGCCTCCAGTCAGCTTAGCAAAAAGATCCTTAGGTAGAGGCAAAGGATACTGGTGGGGTTTTAGCGCATCATTCAGTCCAGTAGAGTAATCTGAGCATAGACGGACACTGCAGTTTGACTTCTTGACCACCACAATCGGTGCAGCCCAATCGGAGAAACTCACAGGTTCAATGACACTCATTTTTTGAAGCCGTTCTAGTTCCTGTTCAACTACTGGGAGAGAAGCATAAGGTACAGGTCTTTTCGGTCGAAAAACAGGAATAGCTGTCGACTTGAGGGTCAGTAGTGCTTTGGCTTTTGTGCATTCGCCAAACCCTTCTGAAAACACGTGATGATGCCTTTTTATGATGGCATTTCTCTGACTTGACTCTAAAGGGTTATTGATTCTGACTTGGCTGCAGATATTGTTGAGAGGATGATCTGCTAATTTTAATGCATCTATTAGATCCAACCCCAATAAATCGAGTTCCGGGTTCTTGGTTAAGTAAACAGTTGCACTCGTTGTTGCCTCATTTTTCGAAACATTGCACGTTATTTCCCCAACAATATTAAGCTTACCTCCCGATGTGCTGTGCGCTAGTTGCTTCGTTCGGCGAACTGTATGTCTCCCAATTTTCTCCCAAGTTTTTGGACTGATTAGGGTGATATCAGATGCTGTGTCAAGCTGAAGACGGACACGGCGTGCATTCATGTCCACGGTCACATACTTTCTTCGGCGGTGAATTCTTGTCTGGTTATGAGATACTAATATTTTGTTTGTTTTCTTACCAGATCTGTATTTCTTGAAATAGAGATTGTAGGCTACCCACAAACACGAGGCATTATTATGTTACTGATATAAGAACCAGAATCTTAAGCAAAATTGATCAGTGCCCAAACATCTCACTACAAGAAATAACTGCAGAGTGTCAGAGAAGAAAGTATGTGACCGTGGACATGAATGCACGCCGTGTCCGTCTTCAGCTTGACACAGCATCTGATATCACCCTAATCAGTCCAAAAACTTGGGAGAAAATTGGGAGACATACAGTTCGCCGAACGAAGCAACTAGCGCACAGCACATCGGGAGGTAAGCTTAATATTGTTGGGGAAATAACGTGCAATGTTTCGAAAAATGAGGCAACAACGAGTGCAACTGTTTACTTAACCAAGAACCCGGAACTCGATTTATTGGGGTTGGATCTAATAGATGCATTAAAATTAGCAGATCATCCTCTCAACAATATCTGCAGCCAAGTCAGAATCAATAACCCTTTAGAGTCAAGTCAGAGAAACGCCATTATAAAAAGGCATCATCACGTGTTTTCAGAAGGGTTGGGCAAATGCACAAAAGCCAAAGCACTACTGACCCTCAAGTCAACAGCTATTCCTGTTTTTTGACCAAAAAGACCTGTACCTTATGCTTCTCTCCCAGTAGTTGAACAGGAACTAGAACGGCTTCAAAAAATGGGTGTCATTGAACCTGTGAGTTTCTCCAATTGGGCTGCACCGATTGTGGTGGTCAAGAAGTCAAACGGCAGTGTCCGCCTATGCGCAGATTACTCTACTGGACTGAATGATGCGCTAGAACCCCACCAGTATCCTTTGCCTATACCTGAGGATCTTTTTGCTAAGCTGAATGAAGGCAAGGTGTTCGCAAAACTGGATTTATCGGAAGCTTATTTGCAGATTCCTGTCGCGGATGAAAGTAAAGATCTGCTTACTATAAACACTCACAAGGGCCTATTCCGATATAATCGGTTACCTTTTGGAGTCAAAACGGCCCCCTCCATATTTCAACAGGTGATGGATACTATGCTACATGATCTCTCTGGTGTTGCAGCTTATCTGGATGACATAATAATTATGGGCATTGATAGAATAGACCTAGAAAAGAAGCTCGACCAGGTGCTATCGAGAATAGCTGAATATGGATTCCGGCTTCGTGAAGAAAAATGTGACTTTTGCATGCAGAGTGTACGCTACCTCGGTTTTATCATCGATAAGGACGGGAGAAAACCAGATCCAGAGAACACTCAAGCTTTGAAAGCAATGCCGAGACCGACAGATGTTCCCACACTTCGATCCTTTTTGGGGGTAGTTAGTCATTATGGAGCTTTTATCCCTGACCTTCATCGTTTACGTGCCCCATTAAATAGTCTTTTAACAAAGAACGCAAAGTGGTGTTGGTCTAAAAGTTGTCAAACTGCTTTCGAGAAGATCAAAAAACTGCTACTCTCGGATCTGTCGTTGACACACTATGACCCATCCCTACATATTGTAGTAGCATCAGATGCTTCAAACTACGGCATTGGAGCAAGCATTTCGCATATCATGCCTGATGGATCAGAGAAAGCAATCTCGCATGCAGCAAGGTCTTTAACTACAACAGAACGCAACCATAGTCAGATCGAAAAGGAAGCATTGTCAATTATTGTTGCGGTAAGAAAATTTCATAAGATGATATTTGGACGCCAGTTCACGCTTTTAACGGACCACAAACCTCTGCTAGCCATATTTGGGTCAGAGAAAGGAATCCCGGTCTATACTGCAAACAGACTGCAACGATGGGGAACAACATTATTTGGTTACGACTTCAAAATTAAATACCAACCTACTACTGCTTTCGGACAAGCTGATGCTTTGTCTAGGCTCATTGGTTCCCAAGCGAATCACGAAGATACTTTGGTGGCAGCGATTGAGACAGAGACAGAAGTACATCGAGTTTTGGAAGACGCAGTAGATGGTCTACCGGTTACGTTCGAAGTTACTAAAGAAGCTACAAGAAATGACAAAATACTACAAGAAGTTAAGGGTTATCTCCTCTCAAAGTGGCCGAATCGTCGTTTACAAGGAGAACTGCAACAATATTTCCGCCGGCGCGATTCACTCATGATTGTGGATTCATGTATTATGTTTGGTGACCGGATTATTATCCCAGAATTATTACGACATAAAATCCTCAAGCAATTTCACAGTGGTCACCCTGAGATAAACAAGATAAAATCATTGGTGCGCAGTTACGCCTACTGGCCATCGACGGATAAAGATATCGAAAACAAATGCCGAAACTTCTCTTCTTGTTTACAAGCCGCAAAATACCCTTCGAAATGTGAACCTCAACAATGTCAAAAACCTACTGGACCTTGGAAGAGAATTCATGTAGATTTTGCTGGCCCAATCCAAGGTAAAATGTTCTTAATTATTGTGGATGCATATACGAAATGGCCAGAAATATACAGCATGCCGAACTGCACAGCCTCGGAAACTATTCACAAGCTGTCTACCTTATTTAGTTGTTTTGGAGTGCCAGAAACCTTGGTAACTGATAATGGATCACAATTTGTTGCGGACTCATTCAAGAGATTCTGCAGTTCAAACGGCATAACGCATCTACGGTCTCCACCTTAACACCCCCCAATCCAATGGACAAGCAGAACGCTTCGTTGACACCTTCAAAAGAGATTTACTGAAAAGGGGAGACGAGGGGCCAACTAGATTTTTAACGACTTACAGAAGCACGCCGAACCATACGGTCCCAGATGGAAAGTCCCCAGCCGAAGCAATGTTCGGAAGATGTATTCGAACTATTCTCAACGCGATGTTGCCTCCTAAAAGAGTGAATAGGTACAGGCCAAATCAAAAAATGCACAGCTTTAACGTTGGCGATAAAGTGTTTCTACAATCATATCTTGGGAAAAATCGATGGGAACCAGGGACCGTTGTACAAAGACTAGGAAGAGTTTTGTATCGGATAACAGGAGCTTTCGGGAGCTGTGTCAGACACACGAACCAAATGAGAAAGGACAAAAGAATGATACATTCCAGAGATAATCATGTAAACTACCGCTGGAGTTGGTCACAGAATCGACAACTACATGTTCGTCCCGGAATACTGAAGAGAAAAAAGGTTAGAGACATTACCTAGAAAAATTACAACCAGAATTGAACGCCGTCGCAACCCAGTCGTAAGACTGCAAGTGGACCCAAGGAAAAAGTCTTATTCGGGGGAGGTGTTGGGATGGCCACCGTGAAGCCACCCACGAACACCATATAACTGATGACACTCGAATGTTACAACCTCCAAACCCTCGCAATTAAGAAGATGAAAGACGTTGAGAGCACTTATTTGACAAGAATCAAAATATACAATAAAACATGCGTATTTATACAATTATATATATAATCAATATTGCCATGGAAGTTTTTGAACATTAATCGATAACTTAGTCAATCGATTGCCATTTTAAATATTTAAACATCTGATCGATAAGTCCGTCAATCGACTATGTACGTGAGTGGCTTTTCGTTGACCATCCGAATAAAAGGTTTATGAATTTTTTTAGCCCAACAATTTTCAAACTTGTACTCGTTAAATTTTGATCAAGAAGATATTCAGAATACTTTTATTAATGGGATAATTTAGCAACTAAATTGACTAAGGATAAACTAACACTATGCAATAAATATTCATTTGTAAGTTATTTTTTATTGACTCTCTATGTGTATTTTCAGTAAAAAATTCATACCTTTTTACCAGATGATCGATTATCCATAGTAGTATATTGATCAGTTTCATTATTAATTATATAATTAATTCCATAATGTTCATTATTTACTTTTTCAAGTACATTTGATTGAGATTTTAATATTGGATGATCATGTGAAATTGGTGCAGCTTCTACAACTAACATTCTTGATTCATATTGATCCCAATAATGATGTTTTGGCCATCTTCTCTGAATAAGATTTGTACTATTTAAACGAATTAGATTTAAATTAACTGAATGATTATCACTTTCAGGATTATTTACTAAAATAGATAAAAAAATATAATGTAATGGAGAAAATAATTAGCAGAAATAAACAAAAAAAAAGAACACTTAATTGACATACCTTCAAATTTGATCAAATCTAATTGTTTTTATCAAATATCTACAATATCGAGGAATAAAGAACAATTATTTCAATTTACATCGAAACAGCTTCTAAATAAGAACAGGACGTAAATCTTTCATTTAGCAAGTCTACTGTTTAACCTCCTAGTTTTTATTTTTCTAATAACAGTGTAATCACAATTGGTTGTTCGCGGCCTGGATAGCTCAGTGGTAACATCTCTGACTATGAAGCTGGGTGACACGGGATCAAATCCGTCAAGGAGCACCAGTTCCCTCAAGATTATGGGCACACTTTGTTGACGAGGGTTAAGTAGCACGAAACCCGTGTCCAGGGTCTCTTGTTGACTACCTCCAACCACCATCTAATACTTCTAAACGTTTTTGAGAAATTTATTCAGCCTCCAGCACTATTCACTAATTTGTACCCGATTCGTACTATTCAACATATTTGTAATTACATTATTATCTCTCTCATGCCATGTTAACTATATTAATTCCGGTCATCAGTCTCATATAACGTACAACATTATTCGAGTCAACACTCTTTATTAGTCATCCCAATATTAACGATTATATTTTATTTGACAATTATAAATTCACATGCTATAATTTTAAACGATATAGTTTACCTCAAACCTGGCCACTTCTGAGACAATTAATTTGATATATAGCTTCAGAACCTGATAAGAATGTATTGAAAGGAATAATTTTTTAATTTATATATATGTCATATATTCACCATCGATATCTTATGTTTCTGAGATAAACTGAAGCGCTATCATATTTATTCACATCACTCACTTTAACGACAAGTGACACATATAAGTTTTAATACATCATATGTACCAAATTTTATTAGTCAGGTTACAGCTTGGTCAAGCATAAGGAAGAGATATTCAATAGGTTTTCGGCTCTCTACCTCTTCAGCCTCATCAAATAAGTTATTCCTGTAAATGAACCAACCAACGTAACACTTTACTGCTTTCTGCTTTATATCAAAAACAAATAACCAACTTCATAGTGACTACAAACTTCCAATCACATTTAATGGTTGTTTCATTGTCACATAACAACGAAGTTTCTCTTGATTAAATAATTTATCTTCAAAGTAAGTGATACATATCATTGATAAAAATGTCATTCACACTTTACAAATACACATATAGTATGAATGTTTAATTAATACTTACTTGTTTGAGTTATATCATGAATAGAATTTGTTAAAGTTTCAAAAAAATTAAAACAATTCAATTTATCTTCATTTATATGATAAATATAAATATTTGGATCTGGATACCATTTCTTTAATAAATTCTCTTCTTTACTCATCATTCCATTTCTATTTTTTTTAATAAATGGATCATTTATTTTATTTATTAATGAATCAATTGAATTCAACCATAATAATTTACATAATTCACTATCATATAAAATTTCTATTGTAAATGCTATTGAATTACCAGATTGATTAATTGATATCCATGTAATATTTAATTCATTTATGAATAGATTATTTGAATTATGTAATAATGTAATAATCTCTGGAATAGATATAGTTGATTGATTGAATATTGATTTTTTCTGTGAAATATCATTTAATAATTTATATATAATTAATTGAGTTAAAGATTTTGTTGTATTGATTGATCTGATTTCTCTAAATTGAAAAGAATAGTAGAATTTATTTATTGAATTAATCGAATATGATTAAGCACTTGCGTGAGAGACTGATAGGTCCTAGGTTCGTATCTCGCGGTGGTGATGGTGGGGGGGAAGGATCATGGATGCATACTGCTGAGGAGTTCCATACTAGGACGAAATGGAAGTCTGGTGCTTTCAGGTTTTCCGTGGTGGTCTAGCTTTAATTGCCGCTGCCTTTTCCATCTCTCTTGTTTTCGCTATCCACCACTGTTCACGATCATAGCGTAGGCTTCTAGTCAGCTTACGCTTAAGCTGACTTCGCTCTTCATTATGTTCAGAGCCAGATGGAATGAGTTTTCGAGCATCTATCAGTGCGGTAGATGCTGCTGAGATCCAGTGTTTCTCCCTAACCTTATGGTTTACCGTACTTGCAGACATCATTGCTGTTTCTACAGCTTTACAGATGTCATTCCACGCTACATCGGGATGGGCATCACTTACATGGCTGTTTAACTGTTTTTCTAGTTGTTCCTGAAATATACTCTTAGCTTGACTATCATTAAGTAGGACCCTAAGGGGTTTCCTCGTACCATCTTTCCTACGTCCAGTAAGACGTAGACAAATACGCGCTCGCACCAGAGCATGATCTGAGTCTAAGCAAGTCCTCCAGAATGAGCGAAAGTCTTCTGTCGAGCCCCTCCATCGGTGGCTGATAGCGATGTGATCTATTTGGGTCCAGCGTTGGGACGAATTAAGGGGTCGCCATGTTAAAAGATGTTTTTCCTTATGCTTAAAGTTAGTGTTTGCAAGAAACAGGCGGTTATCTGAGCATAGCTGCAACAGACGGTCGCCATTATCTGTTCTTTGAGCCGCGACACTATAAGATCCACCCAGGTGTCTTAACTTTTCGCTTAGTTTAGCTACTTGAGCATTAAAGTCACCAGCCACTATTACTACATCTGAACGCCTAGTTTTTCGGAGAAGGTCGGAAAGCTTTCTGTAAAACTCATCTTTTACATCATCTGAGCTGCAGTTAGTAGGAGAGTAGGCAGAGACGACGAAGAGTCAACGACGAGTGTCCCTATCTTTCCGAGTCCTTACTGTTCCGTTTAGTCGGACAGCACACAAACGACTGTCTACTGGGATCCAGTCTAAGAGAGCTAGTTCTGCCCTAGGACTCAATGCTATACCTACGCCAGCGAGGCCAAGGGAAGCAGCATCAGGGCTTCCAGATACACTAGGCGTAAATCGAGTTAGTTCGTTACTTTGACATGGTGCGGTCAAATGAATGACACTACTCGAATCCTGTGTGCGCGTTTCGGAGACGCAGCACACATCAATGGAGCGAGATTCTAAAGTCCTAGCTAAGGAAGCCTGTTGTCCTATTTGGCACAGTGTTCGGACGTTGAAAGCTCCTACGTGTAGTTTGGAGCGTGGTTTCAGGAGACCAGGAATAACATTCCGCGTACTCGAATCGTTCGCACTAGCGGGGCGAGGTGATAAAGGGACGTAAGAAGGGTTAGTCGTGGAGATAAGAGAGTTATTAGGAGGTGTAGGAAGGATTTGAATGTGACCAACTTGGTCTCGTGTCCTGTTACGGGTACGAGCGCTGATGTCACTTCCAGGCTGCCCACATCGTGGAAGGGAATTTCTTGAGGAACTTGAAAAGGAAATCGGATTAGTGTTGGTCTTAGCGACCTGGATGCGTGACCGCAGAGTCCAAGGGACAACTGCTTGAGGCCGGTCGCGCATGGCCTTTTTGTGGGAGGTTTTTAATGTGTTAGCTCCGTTCTTCAAAAGGCCTTACCGCCGGAGACTGAAATCCGTGGGGTAAGGTGAGGTGTGACATTTTTAGGGTCAACCTTTTCTAACCCCTTCCTTCCTTGTGAGAAGGCAGCATCGCTGACAAGATGAAGAGTCTGCTGACCACTCTAAGCAACAATGCAGGAGTGTTCGGGATGCAATTCTCTGCCTGGAAATGCAAAATGTTGCTTCAGGATTGGGTTGCATCGACACCCGAACTAGTGATAGGGAGTGAAGTAGTTGAGCGTGTCGACCGCTTCACTGATCTCGGAAGTCTCATCAGTCCTTGTGATCTGGTGTGTGACAAAATCTCAGCACGGATACAAAAGGCTCGACTAGCTTTTGCCAACTTGCGTCATTTGTGGCGTAGGTGAGATATCCGTCTATCAACCAAAGGACGTGTTTACTGCACAGCAGTTCGTTCCGTCCTACTTTATGGCAGTGAAACATGGTCAGTAAGAGTAGAGGATATTCGTAGGTTACTAGTATTCGATCAGAGGTGTCTTCGAAGCATTGCTCGTGTATCCTGGGACCACCAAGTAAGTAATGCAGTTGTTAGGAAACGGGTACTAGGTAAGGATGGCGAATCAATTGATGAAGTAGTGAAACTTCATCAGTTGAGATGGCTGAGATATGTGTTACATATGCCCAACCACCGACTGCCTCGACGTGCGGTGTTTTATGGTGTAGGAGTAGGTTGGAAGAAAGCTAGGGGCAGCCATACGAAAACATGGCACAAATCTATGAAGTCACTGACAAGTGGACTGAGCCACGTTGGTAGGTGTAGACTACCTGGTTGGGGTCAGTGAGACAATAGCAACCGATGGTTGGTGATCTTGAATGACATGGCTCAAAATTGTTTGCAATGGATCAGGTGAATCCACTCTGTGTTCTTCCAAATTCTAATCTTCTGAATTCTTCACGTCCTTTATCTTCTTTCCAAATCTATTCCTCTGGATTATACTTCTTAAATAACATCATCAAACCCTAATGTTCCCTATCACTACCTCTACCACTAAGGGATTTGAATCGATAACTGAATCTCTGTGCTAAAGTGGTATGGCAACTCAGACTGATGTACGTACGTACGAAGTTCCACGTTGTTACTGACTGACTGACCATGGAAAACCTGGAAGAACTGGATGGAAACAAATTTGTTGTATTAGTAGCAGCTACATAGAACTTGTTATTTGGGTGAAATGTACTCAAAAAATCAAATATTTTTGAAAAATTTTAAGAAATTAGTATTAAAAAAAGTATCTTGTGAAAATGAAAGATTTTCTTGTTAAGAAATAATAAGTTATCAACTTTGAAAACATATCATACTTTATGACAGACATTTTAAGAATCTTTGTTAAAGAGACTGATGTGATTAAGTCAATTCTACTACTTATTCGCAAATATTATTCGGGGTGAATTGTAGAGTGGTTTTTCGTATATTTGAATAATCATAAAAGACCATCTTCTTTGTGAACTAACATTCGATTCAGTTACTGATGAACGTTCTTGAGTGTTTGATACCCTACTTATGAAGACGCAAAAATCTGCATCTGAAGATGTGTTGCAAAACGCTGAGTAACAATATACACTATCCATGAGTACATGTAAATTACCGGACTTATACAAATAGGGACATATTTATAGTGACCTGTACTCGGTGGATAATTCGCTAACGCTTACAAGCACGGATATACTTGAAACTCTTACTTACTATACAGTCTTGAAACAGCATGTAATTCCTCAAGACTTCTTTAAATTATAACATTTAAGTGAGTACAATATCTTTGAAGTCTAAATAGTGATTTTTGTGCTACTAAACGCATGTTCATTTAAAGGATATCCAAATTGGTGTCACTCCATCAAGATTTCATTACATACTACTAAGCTAGCACTCTGAAACTTCTTGAGGTTTTTTATCGAGACATTTATGACTTTGGTGACTCCATTCTACTGACTAAAGACATTTTATCCATAATAGATTATATTTAACACTCCAAATTTACTATGTGGCAACATTCTTCAAACAATCCATCATGCACATTACCAAAGTATAATGTGAAGGAAGATCGAGATAAATAAAAGCACCGGAAAGATATATACTATTGAAATATTGATTTCGTAACAAATTATCGATGCAGGTTACCATAATAGTAAACATGGGAATAAAAGTGACTATATTTAGAAAAAATATTTATTGTTTAAAGATACTTTCTGTATAACCATTTGTTTCTTTCTGAACATTAGGTTAATGATTTAAGATTTTTAAAAATGAGAAAACTGCTTATTCTAATAACAAAGTTTTATGGTATATTTATAATATCATCATTATTTATATCTAGCTGATCTTGAATTTTGATCCAAACAATTATAATCTTCATTAATTAACGAATTAATAATTTTGTTCAATCAAATTTCATAAGCTTTACATCCATGTTTGATATTCGTTTGTTAAAACTGAACAATAGGTTTTAATTTCAAACTAGGTAATATAGAAGCTATCTACTCAGGATGCTCATATTATCAAAAGAGACTAATCAATTGCAGATCTTAACAACAACAATAGGAAAATGTAAACCTTAACGGCTGAATTATAGTCTAAAATTGGAAAAAAATCATCAAGTAGAAGTTAAAATTCTAATCAGTATGCAATCTTGAACATTAGGCTTGCAAATGTTTACAATAATTAGACGGTTCTAAAATCAAACAAAATCTTCTTTAAAACGTTTGCTAGTATGATCATTGAACATAAAATTAACAGATGATCAGGGTGTTATATAAGAAATAAACATTTGAAAGTTGATTTACCTTCTGCTTAAATCAAATACTCGTATTTTATTTTGATCAGTAAGACATGCCATATAATTGCCACATTGAGCAGTCATAGTAATACTGCCCTCTATTTCTGTAAAATTGATTAATTGTTTAACATAGCCCTAAAATATTAAATGAAATAAAGCTTTAATGTTCAATAAAATATCCATTGACTAAATGTTTAAGTAAGTGCGGACAGTAGTTGCGACATAATCGGAAATAGTGATAACAATTATGTTTAAGATTGAAGCAATCATCATAAAACAAACCTACTGAACAAGTAATCTATCCTTTTCAAGGACTTTTTAAAACTATGAACTAAAGAGCTTTAAATATTGTACAAAAATTTATTTCTAACATTTTTGTCAGGAAACATCTCTGATTCAGAGATTTGATTATATAGCATTCTCTGAACATTAGATTTGTAAAAACGGTAAGAAATACTGAACTTATATATCCCAAACTGTCGATGCTTTAAATACACTCGTTAAAGATTTCAGTTATGATAACATTACAGCAGATATCTTGCTATTACACGTCGAGATCATCTGTACTAGAAATTTCATTTGTAACCTGTATTTTGAAGAAAATAAATGTTATTGACATCATGAAGCAATCTATGATATAAAACAACTGGAAGTCTGGAAGCACTGTGCAGTTGTTTTATACTAGTGATCACTCAAAATCCGACAACTGAGGACCAAACATAGGACCTACGTTCTCATACAAGAATTCTTAGACTCCAGTCTATCGACCCAGGACCCTATGTTAAGCAATTTTAATTTCGGTCAATCCACAATATCACGTGACTGTCTTCTTTTCTCTTCAATGAGTACCTTCCGCACATCCAATACACTTACACTCCACTATCCATGGCTTTTCACTAGAACTTTGGAAATTTTCTCACTATAATGATCTCTATTGAAAAAATGATAAAGGTTTATTGTAATACATTTCATGAAGTGCAATTAATATGAAATGGTATGATAATAATTCTGTTAAAAAATAAATATTCAAAAATACAATTTTAAAATCTTTCCATTTATCTTTGATTTAGTCAAGATATAAAGAACCGAAATAACGTTAAAAATGTGTCACTGTTATTTTAAAGTAATGTTTACGAAAAAAAAGAAAAACAAAGAAACATGTTTTTTTAATTGAACTGATTTTAATTATATTTTGAAATTACAACAACAAAAAATTACCTCCAAATTACGAACTTGTAATTTATATGGTTCAATTGTAAATATATTATATTGATACATTCCAATCAATTTATATTCACATGGGAAATTGGCTATTAATTACAATTACAAATTAAATAATTATTAGTTAATTATCAGAAGGGGTTTTGTGGAGATTTTAGTAATTTCAATAGTTGAAATCATGAGTCAATTTAAGCTAGACTACCATGAAAAACCTGGAAGCACTGGACGATCGTTTCGTCCTAGTATGGGAGTTCTCAGTAGTATGCATTCACGATCCCGCCAACCCCACTGTGAGATACGGACCTAAGACCTATCAGTCTCGCACGCGAGCGCTTAACTATTAGACCACTGAGTTGGCATCCAACGGTGTTAATGTCTAACTTTAACCAATCCACGAAGTTGCGCCACCGTACACCATTGTTTTCAGTGAGGTAAGGAGCCCCATACTAGGACGAAACGGCCGTCCAGTGCTTCCAGGTTTTTCATGGTAGTCTAGCTTAAATTGACTCATGATTTCAACTATTGAAATTATTAATTATTTATTTTAATATTTGATAACTAATAAAAATAAATAGAAAAATTATGTAAATCGATAAGTTACAAAATGATTATAGTATATAATAAAGTAAATAGTAATATGTCATTATTACCTAAAATAAACTGTAATATCCCAATGAAAATAATCAATGGTAACTGTTCGGATCTATTTCTGGATTAATACTATACGTATATTTTTATTGTATAATTGTCAAGTACGTAACCTGTTCATATTCGTGTTCCTCTTATCATAAGCTTTATTTTGACCTATGAATTATTATTATACGACTTACCCTTCTTGAATTATGCCCAGTTTATCAATTACCATCTCTCACATTTACAGTCATATAAGGCTAAGCCTTGTACATATGTTATTTTCCGTTTTATGGTACAATGTGGTCTGTTTGGTTTGTATATAAACCCAGTATGTTTGAAATACATGACTCATATTTTAGAGGCTGAGATTGGTGTTCTGAATTTAACAGGCAGGGCTAGGCAGGAAGCACGACCGACAAAAACTCTAGACTGCTCGTACGGGTTTACTCGTCGTTGGTCCTGTCGACAAATCGCTGTTCTCTAATTGACGGTATCATTACGTTATACATTGAGAGGAGCACAAACCCACAGGTTATAACATAAACATACTTAATAAGTCATATTATAAAGTGACTTACATTTGTGAAATAACTATTTCATTTATTTAATAATAAAAAGTATCATTGTAATATGTTAAAAAGTTCAGATTATTTACAAATGAAGGGTTTATTCAAAATTGGAGAACTTTTGAAAACTATGGAGTCATGGACAGTTGTCTTCAAATAGTATTTACTATACCAATAGATCATTTATTTGAGATCCAGTGACCCATGATAACATGTTCGGTACGTTTGTAATCATCAATTAAAGACAGCGATTATATCTATTTAAGTTTTGATACAGCTAAACGCCGTTATATCTTCTTCAAGTTAGTCACCAATAAGCACATGGTTATTATTAATCGAGCAGAGAGTTTCCGGTGGTTATAACATGGATTTGGTTCATTTGATTTCTAAAACTTATGTACAAGTAAAACCATCTATATGAATATTTGGACAAGTTCAGTAATTTTTCATCATATATATATATATATATATATATATATATATTTCCTGTTCGAAAGATTAGCACTTAAAAAGTCGTTAATTCAAGTAGAGATGTTATGAATAAGTATTAAGCTGTTTGCTGGAACCATCATTTTGTTACATTTAAAAAGTTTAAATCATATCATTTATGGTTGCCGGAGATAACTAAATGTCTTTAGCATTTCTCAAACAATATGTTCATATGATTTTCACTTGAGAACTCATGCCTAGTGATGGGTATTTTTATAACAATTTTTTTTTGCTTTCAATCAAAAATGAATTCCTTCAATAGTTCCTCGAGTTTTATCTGACCTTAGAATATTTCAATTTTACCAGTGATCTTTTTTATTGTTGTTATTACGTTATTTTGATTAGCGATTTTTTTTCGGTATTAAGCTATTTTCATATACTTTTTAAGAAACTTCTTTCTATGAATTTTTATATTATTTAAGATATAATTATTCAGCTATTCGATCATTTTCTATAATCCTTCCATAATGATTTCTGTTTTACCATTCTTTATTGATGTAAACATTTTCAGTATTATGATACAAGGTACGAACACACCAACTTTTAATAATTTATCCTGATAGGTTCTGGATTTGAAGCTCGCGGGGGGGATCGTGGGTGCGCACTGCTGAGGAGTCCCATAATAGGACGAAACAGCCATCCAGTGCTTCCAGGTTTTCCATGGTAGTCTAGCGTTTCAACAATTGAAATTACTAAAATCTTCACAAAACCCCTTTTGATTATAAGGAACTGATAAGAAACCATGAAATGAAATAAACTGCTACGTTGGTTCTCTTAGCTCTATTCAAATTTATTAATCAAAAGAAACTGTAGGAAACAAGCTGAAAATCGATTTAAACAAAAATCAACATTCCTATTTCAACTTTAAAATAAATAAGGAGTAAAAAGAATAGATGTAACTGCAGCTTTAATTAATCCATGAATAGTATAATGAGCTACAAATCAACCAATTGATGTTAATCATCGATTTGTTTCTGTAAAATGATTTTTATTCTTCAAAGTTAGAAGTTGAACTTACTTAGGTAGATTATGCAACCTTTAGTGGACTGTTTATAAACAAAGATATGATGACCATTCCAGTATGCAACATGTTCCTATGATCGAAAAAAAAACCCAAACGCATATATAGTGATTTAGTCTATATAGTTTCAGTGGATGAAAAATGAAGGCACATATATTCAGGATGAAGACACCAAACAAGAACTTCGTGAATCTATGGATGCATTAAATAACACGTAATGTCGTAAAAGATGTTAAACTGCAAAACAAAGATTTGAAAATAAGTTTCAAATACTGATAAAGGTTAGAAACATCTTAAAATAACTCATCCCCAACATTGTGAACTACCGAAACGTTCGTCAATTACAGAAATACTAATCAGTCATAAACAACGTAGACCAAACCTTCACAATTCATATTTTGGTATCAAAAGTATATAAGCAAAATACATGGTGTGAAGAAATCAGTCATAATGAATACAGTCTAAAAAGAACCGGTGAAACCGAGTTCTAAATAAATGGCGTAGTGTTCATAAATCAACATATGCAGGAGGATAATGAATACATCTCTTAATGTTAGTGATCGATTTTGAGCCTTACCATTCAAAGCCCCCAAAGTCTGATTATGATTAAGTCGAGGTCCCCAACAAAAGTACCTAGATCTCACTACACCATAATAGGTAAGTTAAACTGCTGACGACTTTAAGAACTGGTTCCGTGAGTTGACTCAGGTTTACATAGCTTCCATCTAACTTACTGCTACTTTAGGCAAAATTGTACGCTTGATTGTGCCATGGAATATAATCATTATTGAGTCAAAAAAGTGGCCTCATACCTAGGTCCAACAAAATCAATGTGCTTCCATACTTTACAAAAGTGAATACCTATACACTCGATAAATCAATATGTTACAAACTCAAAAAAAAACATGAATCATATATTGTGTTTGTTTTCGAATCCGACTAAGTGAACATCATTAAACGCGCGACGGCTTTTGTGATCTAAGAGTGATGTGGTTACCCAAATATCATATATGTACACTCCTGAGCAGTCCTAAGACTGAGAAAAACTGCTATCAAATTCTCCTTGGTTTGTAATGCTCCACCAGAGTATTCCAGCCTAGTACGAAAATTGCTTTCAAATATCTTGATTCTGATTTATTTTTGTAATATAAAACCCACTAGTTGATCAGTGAGTCTTTTTGCTGTATACCAGTTCTTATAGTAATGAGCTTTATTCGATCTAAATACTACTTAAACTCTAACCGAGTTATAGATTCTCCAGAAGTTCTATAGCTTTAGTAGGAATAATGAGTTTACTTACACGTTCAACCATGCTAAAATCATCCAGGTGATTTAAATAGATATACTGGTTCGAAATTTACATTTTCCCAAAAAATATCATTTTATTTACACAAGTCAGATCGAATTTTTTTTAATTCATTACCATGATGAATAGTTGAACTAAAGCATACTAAATCAATATCCGAAATGATCCATTCTTTTTTGATATCTAGAAAAGCATATAATGGGTATTAAAAGGTTGACTGCACATAGTAAACGATGGAAAATAGACTTTAAGAAGATTTTAATACGGAATAACTTATAGTACCCTAAGAGTAGTAAGTGAAAATATTGTCAAGTTGAAATATTTGATATAAAATTGACCTTAAGCCGGCTAATAACATTTCATGTTGTAATAAACAATGAGATATTTGTTAATACTCTTCGAATTATTAGCGTAGACATTCCAGCTATATAGAGGACAGATCTTGGTTACCACTGGCTGTTATCATCATCTAACATCAAATCAAATCTGAACTTTTATCATTTTGACAGCAAATACCTTGAACTACCGACCATTTTGCACAAAAATGCACGTGGATTGTCAGCGACACAATTTACAAATTTTGTACAGAATAATCCAAAACATACTTGTGTGCAATATACAGCCTTAATTTGATCTTCAACCTGCGCCTCGTACTCACAAAACGAACAATTCCCTTGAATAATGAAATCAGTAAAGTTCTGATTTATATCTTTACAAGTCTCTAGTTGTTTTGATTTGGTTATGAAGGATCCGCGGCAATTCTCGAAATTTTCATCTTTAATCAAATTTACATTCGCTTTTTTATTTTCAGGAGTATTGTTCATTATCGATACATTCTTTGAAGCGCTTGTATTTGTTTTGTTTACACGTTTATTAGATATTGTGGTAAGCACTGCCAATGATCTTGAACCGGTTTGTACAACAGCACATCCATATCCGTAGAAATGCGTTTGTGGTGATTGCCGTTGAAGCATATATACAGTAGACTTGGTTTGGGTACCTGAAAGTTTGATAGCGAGTTTGATATTTTAACAAGTAGCATCACTCTAGTTATCAGATAAATGATATGTTCAATGTAATTATGTGACTGAAAAAACCTAGAGACTTCATGGCATATGTAATATGATGATTTTGGAGTACTATCGATTTAAATCAACTATTCAATAAAATATGATCTTAGTTTATTTATTTATAATTTATTTATTTTAACACATAAGTATAGGTACAGGGAGGCACCAAATACAATGCGCCACACAAATCTCAATTGATATGTGTGAGGGCTGTGATACTGCTCGGGTGCCCAAACCAAAGCAGGTGGTTTTCTTAGGGGGCCACACCCCGAGCCTTTGACCTGAACGTCTGACCCACAAGGCAGTGGAGCATCGTGAGGAGATGCAGTCCCATGGTAGCCGGTGACCAACGATTGGTTCATACGCCATTTGTTCCTGCAGGATACTGGAGCCCATGTGCACCATTGGTTTGGGGTCCGGTTAAAGCGCCAGACATTCGCTTTTCGTCCTCTCATTTTTGTAAACAACACCCCCGCCACGAGAAGGCGGTGAGTAGGACTTCCCTGGCAGAGGCTATATACGCGTGGCCATGTGAGAGCATTTCGAGAGGGAGAGCGGACTCTCCCCACTCTCGGCCGTACCAGGGCATTTGGGGGTTACCGTAGGCTTAAGTTTGAATAAGTTTGCCAAAGAGTTAGCGATATAATTACTCCGAACTTTGTAAAGACAAGTGACTATCCCAAAACACTGGCGAATCACTGTTGTGGCAGTTTGCTACCATTAAAGATAAATTCAGTTGGTAAGCTATACTGAAAGTATATGATATTAGCTAAGCGTAATCAGAAACATGATAACATTAAAAACTTGGTGGACAGAAACAACAAAGAAAAATAGCTCCTGTTTAAATAAAGTAGTAACACATCAGAAGTGTCCGTCTATACAGTTAAAAATTACCTTGGCTTTCATGTGGCTTTTCTTTTGACTGATGAGGTATGAGAGTAATTGCTAACTTTTCTTGCTGACAATCCCAGGCTAGTAAATGTGTGTGATATTTTAAATCCTCTGATACAGAAAACGATTCATCTTCTTTGTTTAACCAAAAGGTACTTGGTTGTGGATGCCAACTGGTTTCCGGTGTTTTTTCTGCCAAAGTGTTTGTGCAACTTAAAAGTCCATAACTATCTATGCAGTCACAGAGATTTTGATTTGACGTCAAACTTGACCTCTGAACGTTAGACAAATATTTGGGTGATTCCAGCTCTGTACAGTATTGCCAAAATCCCACCATTCCATTGTTAAAACTTGCTGCCAGTATACCTTTTGTAAATTCCAGAAAGACGATTTCAATTTTAGACATAATATTGTACATAAACTACACAAACTAGAATCCTAATACATATGAGCTGGTTTGAAACTATGTATAGTTAATCCAAGAGTTCATTTCCACATCGTTTGCTTGAATCTTCCTGATGATGTTTAAGACTACAATCGATCAAGCTCCTATTAGAATATGTGCATCCCATGAGGATTACCTCGGTATTGTCTTAGGCCAAAAGTATTATAATCGAAGATGGATAGTGAGTAGCAGTGGAATCCAGGACTTAGTGGCATAATGGATAACGTAGTGAAGTTTGAAGAGAACGATACGAGGTTCAAATTCCTGAGTGAACATCAACTCTGGGATGTAGGTATATTTAGCTGAAGAGTTCCAAATGGGACGAAACGCGCGTCCTCGATTTCACTGCCAACCACCATCCATCGTTGCCTATAATCAATACATTAGTTTTGCGAACAATTTTTCGAGAACATATAAGACTTTACCTGCTGGAATAAAGAGCAAAAATAATATAATCTTTATAAACAGTTTTTTTATCCCTTATTCACTTTTTAATAAAATAAATTAATAAAATTTTCATCATTTATTATAAAATCACGGCAAACCAACCTTCCGCACTTATTCAGCCGAAAAATCATAAGGGACATCAGATCTGGCATATATACATATAGCCCTACGTTGTCGCAATATATCAGTACAACGGGATAAAGTCATTACGACAAGTGATAAAGCAACAAAAATGGTAACACCATCAACGGTAGTTGAAGCTTCAATTCGAAAGGAAAAAGTGAATTCCAGCCTTAGAGACAATAACTTTGTGTAATGGATAAAATAAAACCGTCTGATGCCGATACGACACTTCGAGGGCCATACTTTGCTTTACAAAACAAATTTTTATGAAATGTTTTCCATGCAAATTAGCATCGTCGTATAACTACTTTTCTGACGCCTACACTGTTTTTTATGAGACATATTCAATTGATTTATGCTAGCATTATTATTAATCGTACTACTGCTACTTTATCTAACTAAAAATCAGCTTTTAGATTTAAAATCGAAATTTCACTTTAACAACGTAACACAAAAAACATATATGCAAAAGATAATCCGTAAAAATCTATTTTGATATCATACATTACGTTTTTAGAATAGACATATATCAGAAGAGTAAAATTTGCAACTTACAATATGTTTCCGAGTAAGAAACACTGATCACCTTCAGCTCACTTGTACTACTTTTGGAAATAGGCATGCAAGGAGCTAACGTATAGTTATCGGCTCTCTCGACATCCCAAAGTCTAACATTTGTTTCCCCAAGTGCCATAGCAAGCGTAGTTTCGCCAACCCATGTAACAGACGGCTGGTTGAACATCGCTAAAGTCAGTTTCATCTAAAAGATGTACAAGTACGTTTTTTTTCTTCATTACCAAAAAATAGAAGCAAAATATTTCATAAAATGCAGGTAGACCTCACCAAGAAGTAAGTTAGAATAAGTGCTTTCAATCCATTTTCACCCCGTTTTACCTAGAGCATAACGTTTTATTATTTATTTCATTATACTGCATTAACTTAAATATGACAACTCTCCGTAAGTTACCGATTTTACGGAAATCATAACACATGTCAAAAATACCCCAATTTGTTGGAAGCGAATTATCGAATACATTGGATTAAAATTGTATTATAACTACTGTGAAATTACAACATCCTGTCCACTTTTCACCAAACAAATAAAGCAACCACTCTTTATGCAAGATATCATAATGGAAAATCAGGCAAAATCCATATGAAGTAATTGACTGAGTCTATAGGCCGTGTCTAAAAGTAAGCGTATTGAGTCTTACTGCCATAGATGCTACCAATAGTTATTCATCCATATTTAACCCAATACTTTTCTTACAAATCGATGGTTTATAGTGATAGCTTAACAATAGCCTGCTTGTGCAAGGTTCTATACCACTTATCGATGATTTGTATCATGTAACATTCTGTATCCTTGGTTTATAGTGTTTGGAGTAGCTTCAGAAGTTTTTGTTATACTAGAATGAATCGATGATATTATAACCAGTTTGGTTGAATTAGGTGATAATTTACCTTTAAGTTGATATCTAAGCTAATATCTCTAATGGTCGCTAATCAGACGAAATATAAAAAACACAGGTTTCAAGCAAAAAGTTTACATCTAACTAACAATTTCTCTAATAATCAACTAATAACAATTTGAGAACTGTAACTATACAGAGACTAGTCAATTGTTTTGTCTCTTTCAAAATATCGTGTGGTCATGATAAAACCAAGACGATGAACTTTTTTTGATAGTATCAATTTTTCCCCATATGTAAACTCATATTTTATTCGTCTGACAGTAATTTTTAATAACTATTGTGTTTGATATGAATTATATTTTGGTAAAAATAGTCAAATACATTATTGAAATAAGAATCTTATAACTCCAGATGCAACGAAATCTGAGTAAAATGCAGAATTTCTAACATACTTTGATTTATTTGACCTTAATAAATTTTAAATGGAGCTATGATCGGAAACCTCATTTAAAAACAATACAATTTGGGAAGTTTTCTGATTTTTCATGCATATAAACTATCACAGACTATCACAATTTTAACGGTTTGAAGAACAAAAAGCATGCTTTTCATGTGTCAGTTTCAGTCGATCATTTAACAATCTAAAGTTCTCAGTTTTCTTGTACATACTGGCATATTCGCAACTGGGATCGATTCAAAATTTTAAAAATTCCTGAGTTTTAAGGGTGAGTATATTTTATCTGATGGTGAGTAAACAGTAAAAAAGCTTGAAGTGTTAGTATTTCTAAAATCCTACTGGACTTTTAAAAAAGTTCTTAGATTATAAATAATAATGCTCAAGTAGAAGTCTTTATTTACCTTTGTTACTTCCTTGATTGATATTTCAGCGTTTAGCTTGACATGATAGTGATATAACAAACCCTTCTCAGTGACGGCCAACAAAATATTTGTGCTTTTGTGAGAAATCATATTTAAAATACATCCTTCACAGAATGCCAAGTTATTGGCTTGATTCACTGTAATTCCATTCTCTTTCGATCTATCGTACTTAATGTACATTATACGTCCTGCAGACCTTTGGGAGTTTACATAAAATTATTAATTACCATCGGAACATCCAAAGAGATAAAAGTCCAGACTCGAAAACTTCAGTATGTTACTTGATTTATATGGAGTTTTGGTGATGGCGGATTCAGCAACTTTATTTCCCTCACTGGTAAATCTTATTAAATATACACCACTTTTATTACCTAGTACTCGAATTCAACTGTGTAAACGTAACATAAGAATTTAATTCATCGGAATTTCGGGTAATGAACATCAGAGCACATGATATATTTGTGTTGACTTTCAGGATGGATATAGGCTTTGTACCAATATCTACATTGTTATGCCACCGGAAAACGTAAACAGATCCTTTGTTGTCTGTCGAAAACACAGAGTTGCCATCAAACGTCCAAATTAGAGACATCACAGACCCTTCTAGTTTATAATCCATATCGAGAGTGTTATGCTCAGAATAGTAACAAACAGTCGTACAACCATTATCCCATCCCACCAATAATACTGACTCATAAGGATGCCAAGAAATACACGTCGGTATACAAGGCCTTGCAATAATTACATCTTTACAGTTTGGGACCTGAATAATTCGTAATATTTGTGGAAATTTACTTTCAAGGCCGAAATTGTTACTTCACCTGACTGTTTTCCAATACGTGATGCGATCGCTAGAATAAGGATGCGAGGATGCCATTTGATATCAGTAATTTCTCCAGAGAAAATACCTAATTTCTCACTCAAAAATACTGACATCATGACCTAGAAAAATATCATCAAAACACCTTAGCAACAAAAATGTAGTAATTAATTATTGACATGGTTAAACAAAATCTTTTGAAACGGTCGATGAAATTTCTTCCGAGTTGCATCATATTAAATGCCTTAGTAATCTTTGTACATAATTAAAGTTGCATTTTACAACATGGTTTTCGTATTTTTAAGCACAGACTTTTATTTAATATTGGTAGAGAACTCCCAAAATGATTGACTTTTTGTAGATTAGAAACTATTTGTGACCGTTTTATCATTAATGCATACTTTGGATAAATGTGGTTGGTTAATGGCTGTGGGCGCATTTCTGTACACTAAATGAGATACTTCTATTCATGCAGTTAGTCAACTTTCAGAAAACCTATTAGAGAGGTTTGTAGAATGATACCATTTCTGTTTGATCTCTTAAATAAAGTTCCTCACAATCATTATGGATATCCCTCCTGTTTTTTTTTAAGATATTATTTTGGGGATATTCATTTATTAACAATTTTTATTCGGTTGCGTCCAGAGTCTATTCAGACATCTAATTGTGAAGCTACATGAAGCTGAGGGGATGAATTAGAAATAAATGAATTGTGAAAAACGTTGAATTATTTTATAAACATTCATCTGTATGCCTCAAATGCTAAATCTTATGAGAAATTACACTAATAATACTGTTAAATCCAGATTATTGAACACTATCTTTAGGATAGTCGGAAAGAATTTTGAACCCTTTAGGTAAATAAATCTCCAAAATCAATCACTCTGTACGTCTTAGAAATTGATGCTGACCTCATTAAGTTTAATGGACTCACTTAGCTGAAGGCGCTAGGTCACGCATCCTCACCAGATCACGAGTGAGTATGCTGTACTACAAATTTCTTACAACCGTTAGCCAGCTTAGATTAGACACTTCCCGATTAATTGACAGTCTTTCAGAAATATCTCAGAACCTTTTCATTCCTGACATTTGATTTGACTGGGTTGGTATGTGTTACGGGAGAACTGAAGACATTTGGCTGATTAAAAACTTTATATTAAATATCATTAATTTCACTGGTTTTTGGATGTATTTGTTTTACTTAACTTCTGAACTTGTTTGTTTATATCATTATTTCGGACATTTTTTGGTTTCTGTTTGTCTTTGGCTTGGTAATTGGAAGTTTTTTGCTCCGGGAACCTATCAAATTGAAGGTTTGTTTTGTAATTATTATAATTATTGTTGTTGTTAGAACGACACTTGGTCGACTATTTGTGAATTGCGAATAAACTTGGTACCTAATTTGGTTTTTGGTTCTGTTGTTAATTTGGGTTCGTAAATTACAAATAGACCGACATACCGTACTTCAATAACGGGAAGGAGCAAAAACTTGGACGTAACATTACAGTTCTTCAATTTTGGTTCTGTTGTAATACATTGGATTCGTCTGGACATTTTGGGTCCAATTTCTGGTCATATTGGTCGAATTCGCTTGGATTAATTCTTATTTGTTTTGGTAACCGATTCTTTCGAACAAAGGCATACGATGGAAACGAGAAGCAAAAAACCGAAGGAAAATGACGAAATGGATGGTAAAATTTCTAAAGCTGTCTGTGGCATGTCTGAATTTAATGATGATAAACGTGATGATATTAGTGTAATAGTATGTCCTCAGCTCAGTTTAGTACTTGTAGATTGAGGTTAGATAAGGCATTACTAAAGAAAATTTTGGAAAAGAGGCTTGAGTTAGAAAGGCAGCTTAAGATGTTAGAACTTCAAGAGGAGGTTGATATGGCCGAATTGGAATGTAAGTCATAGAAAACGATAACAGACTGCCAGTAGACAGGTCTGAGATAAATGCTAAGGTGGAAAGGTACTTGGATGGTGGCGCTGCGTGTAATAAGCATTCCGGGGAGGTATTTAACAACACAAAATGCGATTGGATCAATGAATTAAAGGATACGTTACGTAATACGGTTAATAGTACGGTCTTGCCTAAGATTGATATGATGTTTTTTGATGGACAACCGAGCCAGTACCACCGATTTATTAGTCAGTTTACAAGCATTATCGAGAGTAAACTGTCTGACAAATGCCAGTTGTTGTCATATTTGTCATACTATTGTAAAGGAAAGGCCAGAACGGCTATTGAAGCTTGTATTTCTTTGCCCAGTCATTTGGGTTACGATAGAGCTAAACAAATTTTATATGATCTATTTGGTAGAGAACACCTTGTCGCTCGTAATCTTATTACCGAATTACTCAACCACAAATCTGTTGAAGGATCCGCCGATGGTTTAACTGACTTCGCAATTAAGCTACGTAATGTATGCATAACATTGAAGGAAATGGGGTATATGTCTGATGTGAATTCTACGGCTAATCTGGAAATAATTGTGTCACGTTTGCCTTTAGAATTGCAGAATAAATGGGTGGAAGCTGCCAATAGGATCATGATGGCTGGTAGGGAGCCGATCTTTGAAGAATTAGTAATGTTTGTAGAAGAAAGAGCCAGGATTGCTCGATCACGTTTTGGTAGATTGGTACATTGTAACTCAAAGTTCCGTAAAGGTAATTATGAAGGCCAAGTTGATAGAAGATCACGCCTCAATGTAGTTAAGCGGGAACCAAGCACTTCACTCAAGACTTTAAGTTGCGAAATTTGCTTTGGTGATCACAAAGAGAAAGATTGTATGAAGTTATCGAAAATGAATGTTACAGAAAGGAGACTGGAAGTGAGAAAACGGGGTCTATGTTACCTGTGTTTAAGGAAGGGTCACATAGCCAAGTCGTGTAACTCGGACATAAAGTGTGACGTTGATAATTGTAAGATTCGGCATAATCCATTATTACATATTGATGCTAATAATAAACATATGGTGAACTTTGCTAAGGATTTCAACTCCTCAAAGGTTTGTTTGGGTATTATTCCGGTTAGACTATACGGCCCCAAAGGATGTTTGGAAACATACGCCCTTCTAGACAGTGGTTCAGATACCTCTATTGTATGTGAAGAGTTAATTAATCAGTTGGGTATCGAAGGTAAGGAGACTTCGATAAGGGTGACGACTGTGAATGGAACTTCTACTTGTGAGTGTTTGGAAGTAAATTTAGAGGTATTTCCGTTAGATGAACGGGGTTCTATAAGGATCAACAAGGCTTATACGACCAAGAAACTTCCGATCGATTATGCAGAACCTTTAACCGAACTCCAACTGAGAAGGTGGAAACATTTAAAGGACATAACCCTTCCGAGGTTGCAAAGTAATCTGGTAGGAATATTGATTGGGTGTGATGCTCCTGATGCACATTGGGTCCTTGAACAACGCCTGGGTGATAGGAAGCATCCGTTTGGTGTGCGTACTCATCTCGGTTGGATGATTTTAGGTCCTAAAGGAGTATCGAGGTCTCTACATCAAGTTCAGTGGTGTCATTGTTCTACTAAATATATTTTGCGAGATATAGAAAGATTATATAATCATGAGTTTGAAGATGCAGATGTGTTTCGGAATGGATATTCTGTCGAAGATAAAAGAGCTCTGGAAATAGTTAATAGTTCCCTAAAACTGGAGGGTGGCCATTTCCAAGTTGGTCTACCGTGGAAGTATGATAAGCCAAGACTACCGAATAATTTGGAGCTAGCGGAACGCAGACTAGAGTGTTTAAGGAAGAGGTTTATAAAGGATAATAGTCTTCTGGAGAAATATCAAGCTGTAATGAATAAGCATTTAAGTAAGGGCTACATCATTGAAGCTAGTAAGGAGGGATTTGACCGTGATGCTGTTTGTTGGTATATTCCTCATCATCCTGTTATCAACCCTAAAAAGCCTGGAAAATTGAGAATTGTTTTTGATTGTGCAGCTGTCTATCAAGGTTGCTCTCTAAATGATCAGCTTTTGAGAGGACCAAATACTGTAAATAGTTTAATTGGTATACTTCTACGATTCAGATTAGGTAACGTAGCATTAGCCGCTGACATCGAGGAGATGTTTCTTCAAGTAAAGATCCCGAGACAAGATAGAGGAGCGTTTCGACTATTGTGGTGGGAAGACGGTGATATAAGACAAAGGGCTAAGCAATACTGTTTAACAGTCCATCCGTTTGGAGCAGTGTCCTCTCCTTTTTGCGCTAATTTCGCTCTTAGGAAAACGGTAGATATATTCGGTAAAGAATTGAATAAAAATGTTCAAGAAGTCGTAGATAAGAGTTTCTATGTCGACGACTATTTAGCCTCAATTGATAATGTGCAGGATGCAATCGAGCTTGCAAAAGCCCTAGGTTTACTCCTCAGAAAAGGTGGATTCAGACTTACCAAGTGGATAAGTAACTGTTTACAGGTTCTCGAATCAATTGATCCAGATGAGAGAGCAGAAGCCGTAAGAGAAATTGACTTTGAGAGACTTCCTACGGAACGCACATTGGGATTATTTTGGAATACTATGGTTGATGCGTTTGAATTTAAGGTTCGCGTACCGAAACGCCCCCTCACTAGGCGAGGTATATTGTCGAGTGTAGCCTCACTTTACGATCCCTTGGGATTGTTAGCACCGTTTATACTTCCTATGAAGCAGTTACTTCAGCGTTTAGGTAAATTGGGACTAGGATGGGACGAAGAGATTCCAAGCGAGGAATGCAGACGCTGGTTAGAGATTCTAAGTGAACTTCAGAGGGTTGAGAACGTTAGTTTTCCACGTTGTGTATTGTTTCCACAATCAGATCGCTCGCTTCTGGAACTTCATATTTTCTGTGACGCCTCGGAAACTGGATATGGTGCAGTGGCATACATCCGATCTTGCATCCTTAACACTGAAATATGTTCTCGTCTTATTACGGCTAAGGCAAGAGTAACCCCCTTGAAGGTTCAAACTATACCGCGCTTGGAACTTACGGCAGCAGTGTTAGCAGCGCGTATGGGGTCCCAGCTGCAGTCCGAGTTAGATATTAAGTTTGCGGAAGTTAAGTTTTGGACGGATTCCATGATTGTCTTACACTATATTAGAAATGAGAAAAGCCAGTTTAAAACATTCATAGCAAACCGGATTTCGAC